GAAGAAAGTCCACTACGTGCTCGAAATCTTTGCGACAATATTCGCGCTTCATCTCGCCCAGCACCGAGTCACTGCCGCTCTGTGGAGACAGAAGATGTTAGCGGTTGATCCAAGGAATCGATTCGCATGTGGTTTGCACTCACCTGAACGGGAACGTGTAAAAAGGCATAGACACGTGGGTGCTGTAGTACCTTTGCCACCTCTTCCAGATGCTCCAGAATGTAGGGGGGATTCGTCATGCCCACACGCAGCATGCAGTGCTCTGGGATAACTTCGACCAGTTTCCAGAGCAGCTCTGGCAGGGAGCTGCCTATGTCTCGGCCATAGGCCCCAGTGTCTTCCGATGTTAGCCAGATCTCGCAACAGCCTTCCGCAAAGGACTGTCGCGCACGATCCACAATCTCCTCGGGTGGATAGCTGGCCAGGTCTCCGCGAGCATGCTTCGTTTTGCAGTATGTGCACTGGTTCAGACAGCCCGTGTTTATGGATATTATCTCGATGAGTGGATTCTTCCGCACCTTGGGTAGTGATAGTGGAGCTCCAGCCACCCGACGACCATGTACCTTCTTGTTTTGCAGTAGCCGTACGCTGTGTCCCTTCAGAGTCTCTTCCACTACCTCCACGACGCGATCGATCTGCTGCACTCCGATCACAGACAGGCCACGCAAATAGTCGGACTTTGGCGCTCCCTGGGGCACGCAGCCTGCCACCACAACATGCTTGCCGTTGCTCATCCCCGACTCGATCTCATTGCGAAAGGTGTCCTCGGATGGATTTTTCACGGTGCAGCTGTTGAGTAGCCACAGATCTGCTTCATCTTTACCGCTAAGTTTGTAACCGTACGCTGCCAGCTGCCCGGCCATGTACTCGGAGTCCGAGTTGTTGTGGGCGCATCCCCATGTCTTCACAAACACCTTTTGAGTTCCAGGTATAACACTCTCGTAAATGGTGGGCCGGGGAGTGGGCTTCTCTTCGGCATCGGTCTCCGGCTTGATTTGCACACGCTTCTTGGCGCGCACCGTCACACTCTTCTTGTTCTGGTAACGCTCCTGCGGCTTGACATCTTCGGCAGATATCAGATCCTCGATATCATCAATATCGTTGCCAGGAAAGTCCTGTTCAAGTTGTTGCATGTTCTGTTCACTTTTCTGTTTCCCAGGAACATGTGCAACGCGGTCCAGCTGTTTACGTTTGAACAGTGCTGGTAAGCTCCATGGTGAAAAATATTCGATTTTTATTCGATTAAAGGTTAGGCTACCATGACCTGTCAAACACCCTTCCTTTATTATTATTTTTTGTTGATTATTAATTATTTAATTGATTATTTAATTATTTTGCATTCAATTATTGTTGAGGGGCGTTTTCGTAATTACTTTAGCACTTTTTACATCATAAAATGATTGTGGAAGCCCTAACATGCCCAAGCTTTTTCGGCTTTGCTTTGCACCCTACTATACATACACACACACTTATCAAACTCGGTTATCAGCGGGAGGGAATCATAATTCGCCAGACAGCCGCAGCAACAACGCGTAAAAAACTTTGTCGTTAACAACTTCCGCCTGTATCCACAATGCTCCATATTAAATGTAAAGACACTGATCTTGACCCTATACCAGTCAAGGTGAGCAGAGCCACCCCCACACCCCCATTGGGTGTAGGCTTCTATTAATATTTCCATGCGCTTGTCGACAGATTGGCATCATTGGTGGATCCGGCTTGGATGATCCGGACATTTTGGAGAATCGCCAGGAAAAAGTAATTTCAACGCCATACGGGGAGCCGTCTGATGCCCTCATTCAAGGTGAAATTGGTGGGGTGCAGTGTGTGCTACTCGCACGCCATGGAAGGAAACACGATATTATGCCCTCCAATGTGAATTACCGTGCCAATATCTGGGCCTTGCGCGATGTGGGCTGCACCCACCTCATTGTGTCCACGGCATGTGGTTCCCTGCGTGAGCAAATCAAGCCCGGCAACCTGGTGATGCCCCACGATTTCATAGATCGCACCACAAAACGCTCACAAACGTTCTACGATGGCTCAGCCACTAGCCCACGTGGTGTTTGCCACCTGCCCATGTACCCCGCTTTCAGTGAGCGTACCCGCAACATACTCATCGAGGCTGCCAAGGAACTGGAGATCCCAGCACACGAGAAGGCCACAATTGTGACTATCGAAGGTCCTCGCTTCTCGTCCCGCTCCGAGAGTCTCATGTTCAGGGAATGGGGCGGCGACCTTATCAATATGACCACGTGTCCAGAGGTTGTGCTGGCTAAAGAGGCCGGCCTCCTGTACGGCTCTGTGGCAATTGCCACTGACTACGACTGCTGGCGCATGGGATGCGAGGGAGTCAACGTGCAGGATGTCCTCAAGACCTTTGCAGAGAATGTCATCAAGGTGAAGAAGATTCTGGTGAATGCTGTGGGTCGTATTGCCAAGGAGGATTGGTCGGAGGATATTCTAAATGCCAAGGTGAGTGTATTCTCAAGGTTTATTCTCCACTTGATTGGTTCTAAAATTGCTCTCTTGTTATAGCAATGCGTGTGCAACAATACCATGTCTGGAGCTATGTGACGTTTTCTAAAACTATCCACCGAAATCACCCAGGACACCATAAGGCGGAGGCGGCCTTTGATACCATCGATATATCCTAAAAACTACAAGAAACGGGTTCCAAAACTTACATCCATCTCCATTCAGTACGAACTCGAGGAGGAGACCAATCAGACTGCGGGTGCGACAATTAAACCGGAACGAAGCACACCAGCGACCGATACGCAGTGAGAACATCAAATCAACAATCAAATCCCCCCTTACATATCGAGCTAGCGCATTTAAAAGTTCACATTTATATAATTACATAGAGTTTCGTCTTTAAAATTAAAATTACAATTGGAATTCGTGCATGTTAATGACCAGCCGGCAGCGTTTAGGGACACTTGCGCTCCACTTGACTTTTTCCAGCCTCCTCGTACTCTTGCGACGATATCCACATCTGTTGGAACGTGCCAATGCTGGCCAGTATGGAGCCCCCAATCCAGGCACCGAACCTTCTTTCCACACTTCCATTGGCCGAAATCATTTTCAGACGAGTATTTGACGGCGCCCGCAGCTGTAGATCTCGATTAAGACGCTCGGGAAAGCCCTGGAGCAGCGTGTTGCCACCTGAACGATGGGAATATATGAGCAATGCGGCGATGATCATTCAAGTGAATCCCTTACCTGTGACCACAACCGATCCGAAGAGCGACAGACGCACATCCGCATCGCACATGCCCACGCTGGTGGAGGCCAATTGACCAGCACCCAGCATGGCATTGTCGAAGAGGCTTTCGGCAATTTTGAAACGTTCGGAGCCAAAGTCCTGGTGATATCCATTGGGGAACTCGTAGTGGACAGTCGGTATCTGGGCAGCCACACGCTCGTCGAACGGATTCTCCAGCACCTGCAGAATATTCATCTGGAAGTCCTGCAACATAAGCTGAGTCATGTAGTTCTGCCAGGACTGTGTGAGATTTTCGGGTAGTTTCCGCAGCGTGAAGCGAGCATTGTCCCGATCCTTGACTACATCCTTCGAGGCGATTTTATACACCGGGGACAGGTCGATATTATGTTTATCCAAATGCTGCCTGCATTGGCGGGAGAGGAAGTCACCGCCCAGGGGGGACTTCACTACCGCCTGCGACAGAACATACCCCTCGTGAACGGGCACGGCCGAAGTATGCGTTGCACCGCTATCCACCACAAGCGCTGTGGCACGGCCGCTGGAGAATGCCGCCAGTACGGCATTTTTAACCAAAAAGAATGCTGGCACATTGTACTTCTCAAACATCAGCTCGGTGAGCTTCTCGCGGTTGTTGCGCACGTTCCAGGACGCCTCTGAGAAGAGCACGGGATGGTACTCCGGCTCCGATTGAATGACATTTGCGTAGGCATAATCAATCACCTTCTCGAAGAGCTCCCAGTTGTCGATCATGCCATCCTTCATATAAGTCTGAACCTCCATTTGGGAGCGGGGAACATTCACATAGTTTGTGTCTACATAGTACTTGCGCGAGTCGGCATCTAGAAACGAGCAGGGGTGCGGTGGGAGGGTGATGTGAAATGATACTGTTCAAAAAATTTTCAATTGATGGCGTTGTTCTACTCACTGTTGGGCGTCACATTGTTGTCAGTTTTGGTCTCTGGATCAAGATTCGTATCCGGGGTTGGGGATGCTCCAATGCCGACAACAGAGGGTATCTCAGCCTTCGGCGAATCCTCTTGCGCGTAGCCCACACGCAACGAATGGTGCCCTGGATCGAAAACTAAGGCTCCAATTTCGTCGCCGCCATATAGCATGTTGCCTCCACTCATCTTGGAGCGTCGGGACTACTTTTCAGCTTGATTTCTTGCAAAAGTTCTCGAAATGCCTGTCTTGTCTGTATTTATTTTTGCGGCTTTTTTCACGACGCTTGCGTTAATGGCAATCGACCTATCGATAAGATATACTGTCTGAAATTCAGAAATATACCCTAATATACCGATGAAGAAGTGAACTTAGCCCACTTAATCCCCCTTTTTTAAACCGCGAAAAATTATAATATTAACAATTCTTATTGTAGATCCGTCCCATCCTTCATCTTTAGTTTACCTTGAACTGCGCTAATCATATTACTAGCTAAACAGGACCCTCAGCCCTGAATACCCAATTTTATCCGATTGAAATATCAATGATTTAATTTAAAAGTGATCGAAGATATGTGATCATGCGTCATCGAGTCGATGTTTTATGACCATCTAGGTTTAAAATTAAAGTACTTATGTTGGAATTTTCAAAATAAAACGCCGATTAATTCCGCTTATCGTAAAAATATACCGATTATATACCGCATAAAAATATAAAACATTTTTTCGCCAGTCGAAAAAACTACCACCTACAAATATATTGTCAACAAAAAATATGTATCGATATATTGATATGTTTATAAAATTCGGGGGACAGAAAAAAGTTTTGAAGATAAAAACCGTCGCGTCGCCGAACCGAATAATGGCTGATTCGGAAAACGAAATGGATACCGAAGCGGGCGCAGCAATGGACAGCGAAAGCGGTAGAGACTCCTCAGTCAGCCCAATGGAAATAAATATATCCAACACAAATTGCAATTCGATGATAGTTCTGAACGATTTACGTCTGCTGGAGCTGATTACCAAGTATCCGTTTCTGTATAGTAAAGCAGCGCAGCCGGAACAGGACTCGGACCACGACGAGTGGGCCTGGAATCAGATTTCGAAGGAGTTTAATACCAGCTACGAGAACTTGCCGCTGAGTGCCCCCTTCTCGCCAGACGAGCTGCAGTGGCGTTGGAACTTGCTGCTACCAACCATGGGCACTCTTTCGAAGGCGAAGGGACAAATTCCCTTTCAACTGTGGTCCCTTGTGACGGAGATCGAGCGCTCGCTAAGTACAGAAAATTTGAAACCACCCAGGGACTTGAGTATGGCCCAGAACTTTCTACTCACTCAGCTGCCATTGGTGGAGGCAATGTCGCTCAAAGAACGTCGGCGACTGGAAGTCGAGTTCCTCGATATCTTATTCCAGCACGAGATGGAGACACATTCGTCCGTACCACTGAGTCCCGAAGAGCAGGCCACAGTCAAGACCGAATACGATGAATTCCTCGGATCTGTTCGGGTTAAGGAGCTGCCCATATCGGCTCTGGCACAACTCTCGCTTGATGGTCCTCAGTACAAACCAGTCCAACCAAAAATCGCACACACTTTTGCCATCCCAGGTCCCCCTCCCAAAAAAAAACTGGTCATTAGCAGTGTGTCTGGTGGCCAGGATCTCATTAATATCCCGACGGCGACTGTTTCCATACCGATTCAAGATTTCACGAGCAATGTGGTTGGACCCATTGATCCCGCGCCGGACGTTTCGCCACCGCTTGATATCAATGTGATTGGTGCCAAGAAGGAACCCGTTGAGTGCCCACCGTCTGTTTCACCACCGCTGGACATTAAGACGGAGGTGGAGGTGGCCCTTGCGGCCATTGAGCTTGCCATTGAGATGGAAAATGTACGGGATGGAAATGTACGGGAAAATAAACCAGAAGAGGCACAACAGAAATCACCGGAGAAAAACGGCACTCCCGTGGAGAAGCCCGATGATGCCACTCTAAATCCGAATCCACGGTATATTCCGATCAAGAGCGCCAAGTATTACACAAAGAAGCTAATCGTTCGGGTGAAGCGCATTGATCTGGACGAGTATTTGCCGCTGTCCAGCATGGCAAAGCGCCCAAAGAAACGTGAATCCATGTACATCAAATGCACATAAGTTTATTTTAAAAAATACATTACTATAAATTACAACTTAAGGCTATTCTTTAATCCGAATTGGTTTTCATATATCGTTTGCTTCGCATGCTCGATGAACTAGTAACTAAACAAACAAAAATGGAGATGCGGGAGTGGGAGCTGGAGCTGGAACTGGAGGCGGCAGGCGGGATAACGAGGACGAAGTGGCGGACAAGGCCTCAACAGGACCGGGGTTTATAGGTCAGAGAACGAGTTGTACTATGCATGTTGTCTAGGAGTTGGTTCCCTGACGGAAATGGGGTACACATAGGTTCGTTTGATGCTTATCATTAGGCCATTACATACATATTCAACAAACAGTCGCAAGAACGCAATTCAACAGGCAGGTCTACAAAATACAGTCAATGTGGAAAAGCGCATCACTATAACAAGAAACAAAAACAGGCAGAAAGCTAACTTAAACAAGATCGATTGCAACAGGTCGAAGAAGGCGTGGGCCTACCCCTTCATTGAGTGTAGAAGGTCAGGTATGTCAGCTCAGAATAGCTGGTCCGCCAGATTGCCAATGAACGTGGCCAGGTTCATGGAGGAGCCCTCTTTGAATTTCAGTCCAATTGTCTTGCCGTACGCTTGTATGAAGATGGCTCGCACTGCATTGAGGCGTTGCTTACGTCTGCCGAGAAGAGAAACAAATGAGTACTGAATTCTGCTGCTCTGATTCTGCGGGGACTCACAAGTTGATGCACTGCTTGCTGGAAGTTGTGCTGCCACCCACATCTTTGGAGGAACCGTTTGGGAAACCGTGCGTTGTGTTGCTGCCATTGCTGATGCTGCTCCCGCTGCCGCTACCGCTGCCCATGTATGTCGTTGAGTTGTTGCTGCAGTGATAGCCATTGCCGCCATTGCAGATGGGAATGTTCGAGGTGGCGTCCGCCGTCTGTTGCGCCACAAAGCGCATCATGTAGCTGCCGTTCATCATGGAGTCGATGGATCCGGTGTCGGTGACCACCTGCCAGCTGCCGTTCGAGGATGTGGACTCCTGACGCTGCCGCGCATTCGAGCCGGGAACCGATATCGGGCTAGTGCGGGAGCTGAAAGAATACAGGAGAGGTCAGTAGGTGGCTCGCTGGTGGAGGCTAGAGTTCGGTTACCGCTTAGGATTGGGCGACCTGCTGGTCAGCGGATTAACTGGCGCAGATGTGGCCGTTGTGGTGGCATAGAAGTTATCTGTTATGGACATATCACAGTTGGAACAGTTTGAATAGCTGTCGTTGCTATCTTGATCGAAGGCCAGGATATAGTCTCTGTGCAGGAAGAAAGGAAGTCGTTAAAAACTATGATCAAGCTAAGTCCCCTGGTATCTGCACTCACTCCTTGAGCGGCTCATCGTCGCAGCAGTCGGACTTGATGACTATGACACTGCTCCCGCTGCTGCTCGAGGTCTTGGTCCGCTTCCGATGCTCCACTATGCTATACTCCTCGTCCGTGATGAACTTTAGCACGTGGAAGCAGAAGAACATGATGTCCTCGCCCCGCTTGAGGCGATCCGGCAACTGGTGGCCAAACAAGTACCAGTCGTAGGCCAGTGTGAAGTACGCCATCTGCATGGCGTTCATCGACTGGTGGATGAGTCCATCCGCCCAGAGAGACAGCCGCACCAGGGAGACAAACAGCGGAGTGCGATCCCAGCCACTGATGCAGTGTATGAGCAGGCCAGAGTTATCCTCCTGTATGTACTTGAGCGTGGCCCGGAGATAGTTCTGTGTGATGGACACCAGATCCCAGTCCCGGTACTCCGGCCAGATGATGTCAATGTCGGCGGCGGGCCCCAGATTGGGTATATTAATGTTTGCATCGTTGAACGACTGCTTCCAGTTGTAGTGCAGATTCTTGGCCATGTAGTTGTTGTCGCGAAACTTCTTGAAGAACTCGCAGCCCGGATACGGAAGCGACAGCAGGTTGAAGCTCTTGTAATGATTGCTGGGATCAGCCTTCTCCGAGGAGGATACGCTGCAATAGATAATTGTGGTTAGCCTTCTGACATGCATATGAACGTAGATCAGTATTCCCAAACACTTACGCCATAAAGTATTTGATCTTGCGGTTCTCTACCATTAGGTCCACTATTGTGGACACATTGAGGGTGTGCAGCAGCTGGATGTCGCTCTTGATGACCTCGTCGTAGCTGAACTGCGACTGCGACTGGTCGTTCATGTGATTGATCAGCGACTCGTCCGTGGAGTCGGCGTCGTTCTCCTCCCCGTTGGGTGTCGCATAGTTTCCGCTGAGGCAGTCGTAGGCATAGTCCACCACCTTGCGGCCGTACGTCTCCGGCATCACCGACAGCGTTGCCGACCGGCAAATGTATTTGCCCCGGTACATGATCACGGGAACGGCGAATCTTTGACGGCACCGCGCGTACTTGGCCATCGTGACCAGTTCCCTCATACGCTGTATATCGTACTGGTCCTCGTAGATGGTGTTTTGCTGCGCGGACTGTGTCGATGGAGGCTGCTGGGGCTGCAGTTGTGGTTGAGGCTGCGGCGGGACCGGGGTCTGCAGGGGATTGGCAAAGGTGACAAATGCTTGGATGCCCACACCGTCGCTGCAGTTGCTGCCGGCACTGCTGTTGAGTGGCGTTGTCGTGGCCGTTGTCCCTGAGGAGCCGCCTCCTGCACTGAACAATCCATTGCCCGGTATCAGGGTCTTGGCCATGTGTCCATGCTCTGACTCGGGTATGAGTATCCTTCCAGGGTAGCGCGGGCTGAGCAGGCCATTCGAGTTGTCCAGCTCAATGAGGCTGTAGTCGAGTTTGAACAGGTATTCGCATTTCTTGGAGATCTCGTACTCCTGTGGACGAAATTTTAAAGAATTAATATCAAGCCAGAGATGCGCATCCAATGAGGAATAAGGATTCGCAGCACGCCGATCCAACGACCTCACCCACTCACCACTCATTATCATTGTTTTTTTTTTAAACACCATTATTAAATATTTTATGAACCAACGACATGCAAAGTCAATTGCTTGCATAAATCAACGTTGTCCGTCGACTCTGCCGCTGCCGGCGTCTTAATGGACAGAGAGATTAGACAGAGAAGTGCAACTGGTTTCTGAGCTGATCTTGTGTGGCTGTTGTTCTTTGGATCTTGAGTTCCATTGAACTTAGGGCCTGCAACGAATACAAATCTGGAAGGGTCTGGAATTTGCTGTCGTTGCGGTAACATCAATTAATACAAAACAATTTTATAATCATCTCTGCCAGCAAACAAACACATTTTTGTTTGTCGAGACACAGCATTGAACGCCAGGTCTGGGAGAAAATCTAAAGGCCGCTAAAAATAGATGCCTTGGGTAGGGAGGGGGAGAAGAGGAGGGTCACAGCCACAACCGCCAGCTGTCCCAGACAACAACAAAAAACTAGATAAAAGCAGACAAAAATCAGGCGGCACCACTCTCACACACACAAACACCTTGGTCGAAACAGGTTTTTAGCACACAAACACAGGGACACAGGGAGCATAGAGAAATGTGCAAATAAAAAGAGACAAAGGCAAAGGCTGTGCAAAAAAGAAAACAGCCAACAACAAAAGCGAACTACAGAGCACAACAAACGTGGTGAAAACAAAGACCATTGTGTGTTTGTGTGAGTGAGTGAGGGAGATAGGGGGGTGTGTGAGTGTGTGGGTGCCAAAACTATGGAGAGCGAAGCAAACGAGCAAAACAACTAAAACGCAATTACTTCTGCTTGTTGGATAAGGGGGAAAAGAAACGGAAAAGCCAAAGGTTAGTCGAATATTATTTCTTTTTTTTATGTTTATTTTTATAATAACAAATTCCATGCAAGGTTGCCATTTTGTGGCTTTGAATGTCCAGCCAACAACTACAACTACAAATAGTTGGAAATTATGTTGCTCTCCCGCCGTTCGAGAGAAGGCGCTGTTTACTGTGAGTGGGAAGGGGATGCTAAAGAAAGGCCATCTGCGGGACCGAAGCTTCTGATACCCTTCCCGATCGATTGTTCGTATGTAAAGCTATAACGTTGGAATACCTTGCTGTTGATCAATAAGAAGAAAAAGCTTAATTTACTGTGCTGCAAACATCTGGCCCTCATTATAGTACTCTCTCTCTCTCTTTCTGCAAGGGTATTAAGCCACAGTCTTATCGATAGCTGTGTGTGTGTGAGAGACAGAGAGAGAGGGAGAGAGAGTACTCTTCCAAGCTGGAGACGCTCGCTGGCTGTCATTTCATGCACACACACAAAGAGAGAAGCTGTTACTGTTGTATGCATTGAACTGCTTGCTCACCGCGTGCTGTTGCCATTGTTGTTGTCTTTTTTCTTTTGTAAGAAAGAGCAGCAACTGCATGCAACTGTAACTGTCCTCCAGTTGGCGTTCGCTTTTCGCTGTGCGCCTGTTAATAAGGCGCTGTAAAAACTTAAAAACAACAAACAAACGCGCGAAATAGTTATTTACAGCGCCAGAGGAATAGTTTGTGGACTGATGATCATACACCGCGACACCACCATCATCATCATCAGCTGCATCATTATCGTTGACCCAAATAACAAATTCGAAACCCAGACTCAACTCTGCTTCGGGAGCTGCAATGCAGTTTTCTTACAAACCCGGATTTCAAAGACTTTGCCGATGCTGGGCCAACAGAAATCGGCGCTGCGTGGAGCGGCATACTTTTCTTCTCAGTTTTCTGCGGCCTCGCCGAAAAAAAAAGAAACACAAAAGAAAAAGAAGTAAAAGCCACCAGCAGCAAAAAGAAATCCCACAAATCAAGAAACCAGCAAGCAGCGCAGCCGAACCGAGCCCGGGCCGGCCCGGTCCGGGGCCAGGCGAGCAGCAGGCAACGAAAGAGAGAGAGCAGAGCAATAGAGAGCACAGAGCACAGAGCTCTGAGCGAGGCAAAACAACGGTTTCTTTCGCGCTCTGCTTGCAGAGGCTTGGCTTATCGGCGACAGAGGCCCCCGAGCCTGGGACCCAGGACGGACCCGACGCGATTCCCGCGATTGTTGCATATTCATCAATCTGGGGCGGCGGCGGACAGGGAAAATGGCTTTTCTTGAATGAATTATTCAGTGCTCGAAACAGGTCGAACTTCGAGTGGGGGCCACTGACCACACCCCATACACACGTACACAACGGAGTACTCTCAGGGTACAAGGCATGGGGCGCTTCCGTGTTTACGGGTTCTCCTTGTTCCCGCTTACACGATTACACATTCGAATGTGCAATGCAATGCCTTGTTTTCAAGTTTTTGTTTTTATCGTTCGTCGTTCAAAGACACCGAAAACCAGAAATTAATTTGTGTTGATTTGGGGATCAGAATGTGGAACTTAGTTTTGGGCCGACATAGGTAAGGGGATTAAAATAAACAACAAAAATCGGACACGTTTTGTTCAAGAGTTTTCAAAGGAAACTCCTTTACTCACTTATTGTCAATCTTCTCCTTTTTATACAACCTGCTCTTCAGTTAATTTATGCCAGTCTCCATCACACATTATACGAATGGGGGGGGATCTTTGATTAGTGAGCTTTTAATATGCAAATTGCTGGTGCAATAGAGATTGCATACGTATGTATGTATGTATGCGTGTGTGCTGCATGTGGAAAACAAAAAAAAAACCCGATCCGAGCCACATTTGTATCTTGTCAACAACTTTCAAAAGAGACTTTGAAACCGCTTTGTTTTCGGGGGAGGGAGAACAACAACCAAACACGTTCGAGCCGGAAGCTTTGCTGTGGGCCAACATCCTCCCCCCAATGCCAACATCTGGCTGGGTACTCGAACGCGTAAAACACATGCGGTTATAATTGAGCACAATGAGTGGCAGTATGAGTGGGGGCTCTATCTGTCTATCTATGCATCATAATACTTAGTTTATTCGCTTCTCTGACAGAAATCAGGAAGACATTTGCACTCGCCCACGCAACCCACAAAGATCAAAGAAGTACATGGATTTATTTGACTCACGACCGTCCTTTAATACACAGGATATCATTTTGTATTTTGCTTATTTGCTTATTTATTCCTGTTTAAAGATCTACACACAGACCAAGAGCCAGTCAAAGCAATTCCTATGAGACTGCTTGCACTGCAGTCGATATCTTAATAAAAGCTGACACATAAAGAAAGTTGTTTCCAGCTACGCTCCCGCTCCCCATCCGCTCTGATGGAGAACCCACACCCACACAGCTCTGCCGCTCATCGAAAATAGGTTATGAACGGCAAAGCATTGCCATTTCCTGCACATGGCATTGCCGTTTCGTTCCCTGAAAACACGGCATTGCCATTTCAGATACTATCGATTTTATCTACCAGCTATCAGGCGTGCAGGAAACAGCAGCAACCGGTGTGAGGGCCACGGCCCGGCACTCCAGCATCCATCTGGAACAGCGGGGGGATATCGCATCATCGCGCCAGGGCCCAGCGACGCCCTTCTTCTATTCATGGATGCGTGGTACCTTCTGTTCCGACGAAGTTAACCCGACCAGCAGAAGAATTGCACAACTAATGCCTCATAATGGAGGGAGGGAACGCCCGGTAAAGGATTGGGGTTGGGGTTGGGGCCGCAGCATCTCTGGAAGTATTGGAACTCCCATTTTTGAGGCCCTTAATCAAATCGAACTCTCGCTCTCTTTTCTCTCTTGGACATGCGCCGGTCGGCTGCATCCCCCGCATGCACTTCCAGCAGCTGCATCTGCCCCCCACCGGTGGCATTACTACGCCCATTCGTCACCGCCGTACAGTAGGCAGTGCCTGTTGCTGGTGCTGCTGCTGCTCCTGGGCACCTGTCACAAGTGTCTGCGGTCCGGCCGACGCACATTGCAGCAACAGCTGCCCCACTGCACACGCGGAGCCGTTCAAGGACGGTGGTGTGGGGGGCACGTGCCCAGGCGTGGGCGTAAAGTTCAACGTGCAACAGGAAATCAGAAAAGGTCGCACAGAGTCATCGTTGTGTCGATGTCGCTGTCGTTATCATCAACCCACCGTGGGGCAAAGTCCAAGGCGAATAAATGGCTTTGGCCAGGCTTGAATAATTTGTCAAAATTCCATCGAAAAAAGGGAAAATTTCAGGTACTGACCGTGAAGAGATCAGATTACAACAGCTAGAATTATTATGCAATACAGTCCGGATGTTCAGGGAATTCTTGGTGTGGGAACAACCCTTAATCGGCATCCCATAATTACCGCTCGCGTCCCACTGTGCGGAAGTGCAGTTGCGCTGGAAGGTGTGACAGTCTCCGCGGCATTGCGCTCGTTTTCATGCGCTCCTGTGCCGCGAATTTCAAAGCGCCCACACAATGACTGCGGCACGGCTTGCAGCTGCATCTGCCAGGGCGTGGCAGGGAGGGGTGTCCGCAGAGAGCTCTGCCAACGGGCATAGGCGTGCAGCAGACCCCAGAGCGTGGCGTGCCCGGTAGCCAGCATCGAACGTGTGCGTCACTCGTGGCAGAGGTCGCACTGTAGGAGAGCTGCGCGGAGAGTTCCCGTTAGTTGCAACCCCCAAAACGAGTGCAGTGCAGGGATGCGTGGGCGCAGGAAGCAGCAGCAGCAGCAAATTCGCTGCAGACTGGAATGCAGAGGCGGGATACAGAAAACCAGAGACTCTGCCCCAACACAGGACCAAGTGCAGCTATCCCGGGACCAGTGCTCGAGGAAACGCTCAACGTAGCGCAGGCCAACACTGTTTGGGGCCGACCGACCAGCCTGGACCGAAAACCAGGAACCAGGAACCAGGACCCAACTGCTGCTGCAGTTGTCTATATACCACTCCCTCCGCAGCCTCCGGGTGGCTCCCCAACCCATCACCCATCCACCTTGGCGACCAATTATCTGGGCCCAGAATTTTCGACGGCCATCAAGTTTCCATAATTTGCAACATAAGCATAATCAGCAGGCTGGAGCTGCAACAGCAACAACGACTATAGCAACAACTACAACAACAGGTGGGTTCGGTGGCAACAACAAATAATACACATTTTATAAGAAAGAAAGAAAGAAAGAGAGAGTGAGTGAGTGAGTGAGTGAGGGAGTGCGTCTGGGGAAAAGTGAAAAATTATTTAAAAGTATACCAACTTATTGCTATTTTTAGCACTATTTGGGCTTTGGCTCGATACAGTTATCGTACATTTTGGCGCCCACACACACGAAGATGGCGCTCCACATGACATGCACATTCATGCGCACTCATCAACACACACACACATGCATACATATACAAATATATATGTATATAAATATATTTTGCATTTGCAACAACATTCAATGTCGTTTTGGGCAAGGTTTTTGTTTTTATAAAAATAAATCATCAAGTGTGCAAAATAAAGAAAAACAAAAGCATTAAAAAATACAAAACTGATAATGATCATTGTTGGTGTAGAGCTTGATGATAATGATCATCATTATCATAGAGATAGGCATTGGATGGACCTCATTCCTAGAGTAGAAGTTTACATCCCTAGATAGTACATATAATCCCTAAAATCCTATTATCAGAAAGGTTTCCATTCTAATTGAAGATCTTTTCCAGAGGTAAGACCCTGAGGCAGCACGAAGTCCAGCCCTCTCTGCTCCCAGCGCTCTCTTCTCTTCTCTTTTCCTTCTCTCTCTGTTTCCCTCCATCTTTTAGTACCTGTTACGTATACTAGATCAATTCCGGATGGCTGCATCGAACCCCAATACCTTGTGGGCCCAAAGAATGTCGAGCTTTCAGATCAAGCAGGCGGACCTCAATCGCCTGGTGATGAACTATCTGATCACAGGTTTGTGTCCTCCCACGCCACAGGGGAAAGAAATCGTTAAAGCGGCTCCAACTTAACCCTCCACAGAGGGATACCAGGAGGCGGCACAGCGCTTCAAGGCCGAGTCGTCGCTGGAGCCGAGCTCTCTGGGTGACAGCATCGATGATCGCGTGAGGATCCGCAATGCTGTGCGCAGTGGCCAAGTGAAGTATGCCATGGACCTGGCCAATAGGCTGTATCCGCAGCTCTTCGAGACGAACAACTACATGTACTTCCACATGCAGCAGCTGCGGCTGATAGAGCTTATACGGGAGCAGAAGGTGGAGCAGGCCCTCGACTTTGCCCAGAGCAAGGAGTCCGGCCTCAGCGAGGTGCACTCGGACAACATCCGGGAGATGCAGCGCGCCCTGGCCCTGCTGGCCTTCGACAAGCCCGAGGAGAGTCCCTTCGGGGACCTGATGAAGCCCGCCTACCGGCTGCAGGTGGCCGGCGAGCTGAACAATGCCATCCTGAAGTACGAGGGCGGGGAGGTCGTCCAGCCGAAAATGATGTTCCTCATCAAGCTGATCCTCTGGGCCCAGGACAGGCTGGAGATGGAGGGCATTTCGGACTATCGGCGTATAGATCTGGAGACGCCCGACTTCGAGGATGAGATCAAGCGGGCCTTCCAGGATGGCTAAGTGCAAACGGCTCAGAGTGCAACCGGTGCTCCCACAAATTCGGTGTCTATGCTGCAAACTAATCTAGAAATATGAATGTTTTTTGGTGTTTTTTTTTTTTGGATGTGCATAATAAATGTTTCAATATCTTGGTGTACATTTATGGTACTTTAGTCCGATTAAAATCGAAAGCGTTTCCATCATCAGTCGGCCGCAGTCGGCGTTATCTGAGACGCAAATTGTTCTGGTCACGTGCCGAACGAAAGCTATTTTTGTACAGAAAGAGCAAAAGTTACGGGAGTTGGCCGCTCGGGGCACAAGGTGTGTTGACGAAAAGGTGAGTGATTATATTTCGTTTCGCACTCCTCGCTAGAAGAGGGAGGTAAAGAGAGAGAGAGAGAGAGAGAGAGAGTGCACATGCGAGTGTAAACTACAGTTGCAGTCAGAATATTGTGACTCTCGCGGATTTAACCTTCGCTCCTATTCGGGAGAGGAGATGACTTCGGCTCTAGATCGTCTCCCATTACGCCTGCTGTGCGCATGTTGCAGGCACCCCCATTTCTGGCCAGGTCTACCACCTCACCTCAAAGTGTTGTACCAGTATTTAATAGACTGGCTAATCTAATCAAACCATTCGACGTTGAAATTAACCTTGAACCTTTTGGAGAGCCGCATCTTTTATTAGAATAATAACAAAATATATTTACCCTTTGCACCCCCCACCAATCAAATGCAAGGTTTCGTATCAAGGTACAGGTTTTGCTACCCTTTACTTGTCAAAGGGTATATTGGGTATGTGTAAAGCCCCTTTTCGGTGGGTGATATTGCATATAATTTGCTAGTGCCTATTTTCTTTCGTTAAAGATATTTCCTCATCCAAAATAAAAGTGCTGGGTATAACATAGTCGACCTGTTTAACCAAGGCTTTCCAACTTGTTGCTCCACAGATAACAGGGGCAATGCGGGCAAAATTGTGGAAAATCAAGTTGAAAAGCTGGCGCTTGTTTTGTGGTGGCTTTTCTGTGATAAGGAAAACAACTGTTTGATAAACTGCCAGTCAGCAAATACTTTCCGTGTGTGTGTGTGTGTGTGTGTGCTGCAACAAAGTCTTTTATTGCAATTGGCAATAGCTGTGCAATATATTAATTATTTGTACAGCAGCTGCACAAACACAAAAGCACCGACAACAACAACAACAGAAGCTCAATGAAAACGATAGATACGAACGTGCCAAGTATTTATTTAGATTTCCTTTCTTTCTTTGTTACCAAGTGTTTTTCCCAGATGGGAGGGGGGCATCCCAAAGAGTAGCGGAACAGCAAGGCTATGTTTTGGTGTTGTTTCTGTTGTTATTGCCATTACCGGCTGAGTAATGCCGTGTTACATTGCCCGATAGCGGGGCATGTGTTTGCCTGGCGACAGGCTTGTCGATTAGCGTTAACGGGCATGCGTGACAAACGGGGGTGGGGGTGTAGATGGAGAGCAAAAGCAACAACAATAAAAGCCTACTAAGTTCACCCATGTGGCTGCTGTAGCTATGCCGGTCATGAATGTTTCGAAGACGAGTCCCAGAACGATACAGATTAGGTGGATTTGTGTATAAATTTACCGCGTTGGAGTCTCATATCATATCTTATAACAAATTTCGTTTGTAGTTCGAGGTCAACGTTTGATAGGCTTCATAGAATTCCGATAAGGCCCGAAAGACGAGGGGCCGAAAGGAGCATACCACTTGGCAACAGACCCAATGAATGTGGAGTCTCCTAGTGGACAAGATGCTTATTGATTTCTTGAGGAATACGATTTGTGCGCGTTTCAGGGCAGACAGAGACTTGACGACGGCAGCCATTTTGATTTAAGCCGCACTTTTGGGGCGCGGCACCGGAGTAATGGCCCTCTGACGTGTCCTTGTGGTAGGGTAGGCGCACACTGTTCGGTTACGGTTTGCATGTCTGCTCCGGCACAAGAACAGTCACAAAAGCACGTGCGACCAAATGTATGTCACACAGACACACACTAGCTTACACTTACCGCTGAGCCTTCCTCAAAGGACGCCGCCTCGAAGGATTTCTTTTCGAAAACCTCTAGTAGGTCGTGTAAATCCTGCTGCGTCACATTCACAACGTTGTTCAAAGTTAGGCTGCACATTTTTGCGGCGCTGCATTTACCGATTCAATTTCAAACTGGGGTTGCACTCTACAAAACTCTATGTGGAATCCACGCCACAGCACGCACACGGCACAAAAACACTATACACTTTAGTAAAGCACACAATTTGCGAAATACTGCCAAAAATGAATAGATTTAAACAAATCTTGTTGCTTCTTTAGCTGTTGCCTGCCCACTCGCTCTCTCTCTCTCTCTCGTCTCCCGCTCTATTGTATCTGCTGCGTATTTGATTCGTTTTCTTTCGTCTGCTTTATCGGTTTCTACGACGTTTACACGTTTCGCTTTTTTACGTTTGTTTGCTCAACGCCCTAGACGGCGACGTCACCAACAAATTCTCCGCCCGCGACGTAATCTGCACGAGTATAAAAGTCGGGTCGGATCGTATCGGTTACGCACTAGTAGTATTGTTGCTCTTCTTGCTCCGATTGCAATTAGATTGATTATGTGTGTTTGTTTAATTTTATTTGCAATGCGAGGCGGATAAGCGCAGTGTGACCGCGGATCGATAAAATATACCGCCAGACCGTCAGAAATATACCGAAACATACCGTCTCTTTTAAAAAATATACCGTAAATATACTGACGAATTCAAGTTATATTTTACATATTTTTGATATTCTGTCGAACATTACTAGCTAGATAGAATGCTCAGCCCTGCCCACATAATTTTATCCGATTAATGAATCAATTTTGGCCTTGACAGGCCCATTCTAAATATTTGCTTTTATTGAGATTCTCTATAACGCTAAAAATGAAATTTAATAGATTGATGAAACTGTAAATATACCGTTGGTTCAATTTAGACCCTGGAAAAGCTACAAAGTATATCGATAAGCTTCTCAGAAATATATCGTCACATTTTCAGAATATACCGTAAATATACCGATTAAAAAAACGAACTTAACCACTTATTCCCCCTCTATTCAAACAGATGATCTACTTGATTTAAGTCGTGGAAAATAATACTCTTTGTAACTTCTCCTTGTAGATCAATCCTATCCTATTCCACGAGATCCTTACTTACTCGCTTCATTTCCGTTACAAAACCGTTTCAGTTACCCAAAGCAGTTTTAATAATGTGCGATATATTTAAACCTGTGGTAAAGGGCACCCAAACCAACAATGAACAATGATGTGTGCTGTTAATGTTATCCTATAATAGCGGCATATTCGCGCTTAGCGACTGTCCGAATATCTCCAGATTTCGTCTATTAAAGTGGCTCAGACTGAATGGTATACCATCTAGGAATAATACTGTTTGTGAATTCTTCTTGTGGAACTGAACTTTCAACTTTCAACTGAACTGCACCAAAATTCTTCATGTTTTAGTGGAGTGTACTTTAATACCCACTAGTCGACTATGGGTTAATCGTTCTCTCTCCATGATTGAAAATTATATTCCTCGATTTTTATGTTCGGTTTAATGTTACTAGCTTAATATAATCCTCAGCCTATAACAGATACTTTTGTCCGGCGGATTAATCAATTTTCTACAAGACTGGCTGGTTTTAAGTACTCCCTTTTACTGGATTGTATCATAATAAAAGGTTTAAGCGAGAAAGGTCTACGAAAGAAAACGTCAGTGCATGAAATGTAGTACGGACAATTTTTATACCCTAGTTCCTTTAATGCTTTGAAAGATCGACCTATGCAAGCATTTGGGACTGACCAGTTTCTGCCACCCACTGATTATTTTTATTCTTCGTTTCAGTTGAAATATTTTGGATTGAACATTCCCCTATTTATAAGAACATTATAATTCGATAATTCCGTTTAAACTGTTTTAGCAGAAAAACATCCTATCGCCTTTGAATTAATGTACATAATTACAGACAATGATATATATAATTACCGACCTTTGATATATCTAGCAAATTTTATAGTGTCAGGTACAACTAAATTTTATTTTAGAATCAATTATTTTTGGAAATCATCCTGGGCGTTTTGTACGACAATAACTGTGATTTTGGAGTCTGGCGTTAGCAGAACCTCGTTGGTTTTTGTACGCACTCTTAGCATTAAAAGTTCATCTGTGGGATCAATTATCTTCATCCCTCGCTCCAGTCGTCCGCGAATCGCCTGGAAAAGTCCAGCAAACTGAACGGAGTCATCGTGACCCATAGTACTCTTTACCGGATGCCCCAGATCGTTGAGAATTACTATGTCCCGAATGTTTCTCCTTTTACTGATCTGATCGAAAGCATCCTCCACGTACCGTAGAGATCGAGGGGGCTATGAAGTAGAGGATATTTATGAACAAACTAATTTAAAACAAAAATGTATATAGTTTTACTCTTTCTGGAGCATCTAGTAACATTTTGCTACAGTGATTATCTCTGATAAACTGTTTGTATACAGATTTTTCACCTAGTTTCTTTTTTAACAAATGATTTGGGTGGTTTCCAAGACGCGTTTCCAGTAGAAACGGCGCTATGTGGGTCAATGCTGCAGTATATATTTTCCAATACATATAAAACATTAAAAGTCAGTAGAACGTTAATTTGGTGCCAAGGGGATATCACCTTGGGCACAAGGGATATATTTTGAAATGTATATAATTAAAAATATAGTCCAAAACATTTTGAAATTCATTTCAAACTTTGATATCGATATGTGTTATATTGAACTTATGGAACTGGCTGGTGGGGTGCTGGTGAACCAATTGGTTCTCGGCAGAAATTTGTCTACAATCGATGTTATCGATAGCAGTAGCGTCCATCGCTAATATTGAGCAAACAAAAGTTTATTGTTTTGCGAGAAAAAAATCAAATTAATTGTAAACATGGTAAGTGGCAACCGGTATTATTATAATCTACAAACAATATCATCGCCCCGCATTTTCAGTCGCAAGAGGTTGAGGAGACACTGAAACGGATCCAGAGTCACAAAGGCGTTGTAGGTACCATTGTGGTCAACAATGAAGGTGGGTGCATAGATGGCTTACCTTAATTACTGATGACCAATCCGATCCCAATTAGGTATTCCGGTGAAGTCTACTCTGGACAATACAACGACCGTGCAATATGCTGGCCTGATGAGTCAGCTGGCTGACAAGGCTCGGAGCGTTGTGAGAGATTTGGACCCGTCCAACGACATGACATTCCTGCGGGTGCGCTCGAAGAAGCACGAAATCATGGTGGCTCCCGACAAGGACTTTATACTCATAGTCATTCAAAATCCAACCGATTAGGCTGCTAACGCCCGAGAATTAAAAGCTGAAATTAACTAATGAGCATTTCTATATATTCAAATTGTACGTGAAAGAAATCATAAACATATTTATGCATAAAAGACTCGGGACGCTGACATCATATGTTTTAGCCAGTTTGCTAGCGCTACCTCGTTGTGCTAACACACGCTCCAACGTTTTTATGCAGTATTTAGCCGACTGTTTTAAAATGCAACCCTAACTAGCAAAACTTTCTCAGCGCCAGTTGGTATTAAAAAATACTCTGCGAAAAATATGAAACTTAAAGAATTTGTATGTCAAAGATATCGTGTATTTTTGGTAAGTAAAAGGATCTTCAAGAAGAATCTCAAAGCCGGTTAAGCTCAAGCTGTTATCCTGCTAAAATACTACCTGTAGTGTTCTTTTTTTCATTGGTATATTTTGAAAATGAAACGTTATATTTCTGAGGATCAGAACGTTTATTTGATCAATAATTTCGCGGTCACACTGCAAGATTCCATGTCTATCTCTTTCTAGTATTTTCAAAACATTTTTTACGATGCACCAATGTAAAAATCGAGTAGAAATTTCACTTAGCTTAGAGCCATGTCTCAGGCCACATCAAATTAGTAGTGATCAGCATAGTATTCTGATCGTTTTTTTCCATCAAAATCTTTATTTTTCAAAAATAGCGGAGAAACTGCGTGCCAAAGAGTTAACGGAGAATTTTGCACACTAGCGCTTCCACTCGGCTTCCATGAAAAAAAACGGACAAGCTTGTCAACAGACGTACACATTTCCCCTTCAGGTGTCGCTTTTGATAATTACATACAAACGTAGTTGCTATGTAACAAATCTGTTGTTATCGTTTATTTTCTACATAAAATAGTTTAATTTTCTGGAAATCGTTGTTTACATCTTGTGTTTATAACTAATTTTTGAAACAAATCAATAAAAATGAGTAACCGAATTTATCTAGTCTTGTAGGAAATTTATTCCTCAATCGGATAAAATTATGAGTTCTGAGCTGAAGACCCTAGCTAGTTAGTGATACTCAACCGAATATCAAAATCGAGGAATATGATTGAATGTGAATAAAAAATTCGTCAGTATATTTTGGTATATCTTGATACTGCGACGTATATTGTGGTATATTTCTGAGGGGCTCACCGCGGCCACACTGGTGAAAACATAAAAGTTGAAAATTGCATTTAAAAAATCATTAAAAGTATGGATAAGTCGTCAGAAAATTGATTGAAAAAATTAGATATATTACTCGTTCCAGACAGTGTACGCGTGTGGAAATCGACAAAAAAAAAACAAATTTCAAGCGAAAAGGTAAATGTGGAATGGGCGTGCAGAGGGAGCAGCAGTAAAGAAAATGGCGTAATCACGCACTCAAACCCAAAAGCAAACCAACAAACGCAACGTAAACGGAATAAACGATATCCAATCAGCCAGTCAGCAATAATTTTTATAAAAAACAGCCAAAGAGCAAGAAACAAAATTGAGAAAAAGAATAAATGTATTATAAAGTGAAAAATTGTGAGGAAAGCAGCGTAAGCAACGCTTTTTATTGTGCAGCCATATTTTTTTCGTGAAAAAAAAAACGTAAATGATCATATATACGTATGTACATATAAAGAATTAACTGAAAAAAAGAAGCACTTCGTATCAGATCGTCCCGTTGTTCGCAAACACAAGCAGTTTTCAACGCGATTCGATTCTCGTTCAACGTACGTTGATATATAAGTACATACATACATATGTGCACACGTATATTCATATAAATATATGTGTGTGTTCATTTGTATGTACACATGTACTTTCAATATCGCGATGGCATCACAAAAACACGACGCGCACAAACACACGCACGCATGTTCGGACATAGAGACAATATTGTATGTATGTATACGTTTGGTTCGACTGGTTGTTGTTGCTGCTGCTGTTGTTGTAAATAGCCGTGAGCGAGCAGAGCGAACACATAAGGGCTGGCTCAATTTATAAATATAAAAAAGCATGTGGCTGCGCAGCGGCTGAGCAGCCAGCGTCGTTGTCCGCAGAGCGCAAGGGATTTTATTACGTCGAGCGTTTCGTTCGGTCGTTGGGTTCGTTTTATATTTTTGGATATTTACACATGTTCATGCATCTCTCCATTCCATATCCCATATGCATCTCTTTCTCTCTCTCTCTCTCTTCGGCTCTTGCTCTGTGTGTGAGAGCTGCTCTGCTGGCTCCTTGAATGCAACGTAACGGGAAACTGGCGAGTGCAACGCGAGACGTGACAACGTGAAAGGGTATAGCCATGGAAAAGGGAGAGGGTATAGTGCATGTGGGGACTGCAGAGAGTGCAGCGACAACCGTATTCGATCCCCACCCGCAAAGCGTAGTCCGTGAAATATTCCACGATACATTTTCCTTTGGTCATAGGGCTTGCCCAGCAACACCAATACATATCAATATACATACAAATACAGTCCGGTTCGTGAAAATAGTGCAGCCAATTAAAACGTGCTGAAAGCACCGTTCTTGAAGGGATACCTGTGTTAATGGAACCCAGTGAAAGCTCTATAAAATGTGAATCCATGTGGTACCGGATATTCCTCGTAAACTTAACTTAAATATCGAATGTGAATCACTTTTGGATGGAAATGTGCTAACGTCACGGCAAATAACGCTGAAACAGTTCCTCGAACATGAGTCAATTGCTTAAAACCTGATTAGTCATTGTTTTACAGATGTCCAACTTAATTAAGAAATTTGTCAAGGGCATATTTTGCAGCATTGATTAGATTGTACGTTGTCTTTGCTCGTTTCGACTATCCATCCACGCAACAAGAAGGGAATTCCAGTACAATTTCTTGCAGAAAACATGAGCCTGAGTAATCTTCAAAATTGGTAAACAGCTTGTACCGATTCTCTGGCGTCTCATTTTCATGAATATAAAAACGTGCCTCCCTTCAGAGCGTTGCAAACGACGACTCAAAATTGTACTACCTTTTGTAAGGAGACACATTTTCAAACCAAAACTTGTATGCCTACAGTGATTCCAAGGGCTCTACTCTCCTACAAATTTCTTGATACCAGCATCAGCGACTGCTACTGCGACGGCAGTGAAATATGTAGTTTCACCCAAGTACAACCAGTTTTTGGCGTTCATTTACGAACACAAGGCCAAAGTTCAAACAAAACAAAGGTTCTCGTGCCATTTGAGCTTTTGCTTGCTGCCTTCTGCTGTATCTTATCACGAGTGTGTGTGTGTGAGTGTGTGCTTGGAACTTGTGAGCACTCGCTAAACTATCAATCAGTGCTCCGTACATATCTCAAACTTCTTATAATTGCGCAGAAGAATGCAGTGCGGAATTTAATCGACATGGAAAATGAGCGGCGGAGAATGATATCGATTGTGGGCCAGCTGTTTATCGGTAGAAAGCTGCAGCAATAACTGTGGATCTAAGTCGCTTTCAGCTCAAACGTTAAGTGGAAATCTCTACAGACATTTGCGCCAGCAACTGATTGACATATTGATCGGTAAGGGATCTGGGGTTTGCGTGGAAGCAATCGTTTATAGAGATTCGATTCCCCCTAAAAGAAGTCAATGAACTGTTTTTCAATGTGACTAGAACTGCCAAGGGCATTTGTGTTTGAAAATAATACATTCCTCCAAATTGGTACATACAGTGCCCACCCGATTGAGGGAATAACTTTTAGTTCTCTCTAGTGTGTTCAATATTGTAAAATTATTTCATCAAAATCTGTGTATAAACACGAAAGATGGCTTTGAATTCGGGCCAATTTGGCAAAAGTCTCTTTTAAATTTAAAAAAAAAAAGTTACCCAGCCTTCTCGTCTTCCCACATTGAACTTTCGACCCGCTGACCGGACAGACCCTGGTGAGACTTTGGCTCCAGCTGCACCTACTCCGGTGCCACAGCTGAGGGACTACAGCGATACACGACCGACTTTGCAGCAGTCCAAGTCCTTCAGTTGACATCCGCAGAGCAACCCCAAACACACACACGCACAGAGGCACACATATACACGAGCGACGTAGATGAAGTGAAACGGATACAATGCCCTGCGGCAGCCGCTGAGGCGGCAGCGCCAGCGCCAGCTTTCTTCCCTTGCTTTAATCGAAAAACAGGATTTTCATCCCCGTCGAGAGCAGACTTTAGTTTTAATTTCATTATAACTGGAGAAATTGCAGTAGGACTTCTCTGGCAAGAAACATGCGTATTAAATTCACAATTTCCCAGATGGAAATAGAAAGAGCGAGAGGGGAAGTGGAAGTGGAAGGGGGATGGCGAGAGCGAGAGTGGACGAGGGTAAACTATTTTATTGAAATGAAATTTATTAGGCGATTAGTTAGTTAGGTGCCGCCGCCCTTAACCCGGGGGGAGGGGGAATACAAGGTGGAGCATGTGCGTGCGCGTGGCCAGCGAAACGTTGTCGTCATCGCCCCCCATAGTCATAGTCGTCGTCGCAGTCGCATTTCGAGTCAGATGATAAAGGCAAATACATACACACACGTACTAAATAATCCGGGGATGTGGCCGCAACGTTATCGCGGCGCCCTCTGAAAAAAAACAACAACAAATGGAAATAATAGAAAAACTTATATTTGGCATTCCAATCGAAAACAAATCCAGGAATATATATTTTTGGAACCCGGGACTGTAGGATTACAGTAATTTCAGTGCAGCTCTGCAACACCTGCTCTCTTGCATTCTCTCTTTAGCTCTCGCTCTCTCTCTACCTCTGTGTGTGTGCGCTCTCTCTTGTGCTGTACTTTTGACCCTCCAACCACTTGTTTCGATTTTCGCAAGAAATGGGACCACACCACACTGACAAGGAGCAGACACAACAAAAACGAAAAGAAGAATGAACAAAAAAAAAAACAAAAGGTAAACAGAGAAGCTAAGTAGAGGGAGAGAGAGAGAGAGAGAGATGGGCGGACGGAACGAAACGGAGTTGCAAATATTGCAACTGCTTAAAATTTCCAAAATACTAAAATTGCAAGTCGAAAACTGCACTTGCGTGTAGGTGTGTGTGTGCTCTCATTTCGTGCTGAAAGAGAATACACAAAAGGGACCGACGACAGGCAGGCGGCGAGAAAAGGACGGGCAGATAGACAGACAGACAGGCGGATAGGCCGGAGGAAGACCTTTTATTTACTTTCTGCTAGGGAAGAGAGGAGAGGGCCGACCCGACCTGAAATCTGAGCATTTTGAACATCTGTTCAGAAAATTTTGGTTTGTTGATTTCACCAGCCAAAAAATTATTGAATACATGTTTTGGGCTGCATCTGTGTGGATGTGCAAGTACAGACACACACAGACATACTACACATGCACAGTATGTATACTGCATATATAAGCACACACAATGCAAAGTGTGAAACAAGACTCTTTTTCACATACCTGCTTTACTTTATTCCAGGTAACGTCGACGACAACGGAATAACTAAGAGAAGCCAGCAACCAGCAGCAGCGGCAGCACGAAGCGAGCAGCAGAGCACGCAGAATAAAGAAACAAGGAAACATTTGCACAGCACAACCGAGCAACTGCAGCAGCAGCAGCAGCCAGGCCAGGCAGGCAGGCAGGCAGGCAACGACAAGAAAAACCACTTCAACAAAAGAGGATAACATATTGGAAGTGCTCGCACACATACCCTTACCCATACAGCTCACTTACACACACACGCACGAGTGGAAAGAGAGACGAAGCATTGTACGTGCCCGGTTGACGGTGGGAAAGTAAACCGACATCTTTTTACGAGCAGAGAGTTTTGCAATCAGAAGAAGACAGCAAGCAGCCCCAGAGAGTGTTCACAGTTGATCGGGCCAGCCCTTTGATAACACACATACGGAAAGAAAAAGAGCGAGAGAGAGAGGTAGCTGCTAGCAGTGAGATCGGAGACGGGACAGGTTGCTGCCCAAAGCCGAAAACCGAAAACCGAAAAACCAAAAACTCGAACGAACACAACGCATTTGGAAATCAAGCCAGGCCCCAGCCAGCGGAAAGTGCGTGAGCGTTTGTGCGTGCGTAATCGAAGCTCCAAAAACTGTGAGAAGACCAGACCCCCCGACTTCGATCCCCCGTGAACTGCATTTGCCCAGCGTTGCCACATCGCCAGTACGCGTGGGGGCGTAAAACCAGTGCTGGATAGCACCAAGAAGACACTAGGAACAAAACAAATCCAATCCATGAGCAACTAAATCGAAATTAAAGTGAAATTCAAACGAATTGAATCGTTATCCTCATCGCAAAACAGATTCCAAATGAAAACGATCGTGCTCAGTCCGGACGATCTGCAGAACTTCAACAAGTTCATCTATGACCCGAAGTCAGCCGCCCAGCTGGCCGCCAGCGCGGGGGCGATTGGAGCAGCGGCGGCAGCGGCAGCTGCCGTACACGGCCAGCAGCCAGGAGGAGCGAACACCACCACAGTGCAGCTAGTGGCCGGCGGTGGTGGCCTCGGCAATCCCACAGTTGTTCCAGTCCCCACCAGCACAGCGCAGACCAGTGCCAATAACCTGATGGCTCTGCATTACTATCTGAAGCATCCGGGAATACAGCAGATGCCGAGCGCAACCACGGTCCAGCATCACCAACATCAGCACCAGCAGCAGCTGTTGGCCCAGTCGCAGACACAGCTAAAGCAGCTGCAGTTGAAGCAGCCCACAATCCACCAGCACCAGCAGCACATCAGCTACCACCATCCGTACTACCAGCAGACGCAGCCCCAGCAGCAGCTCCAGCTGCAGCCACAGACACAGATGAGCCACAGCAATCCGCACGTTCCGCTGAAAAGTCAGCAACCGCCACAGACCCATCTGCCCGTGCATGCTCTGAACCAGAACTCCAACTTCTCAGCGGCCAGCTCCAGTACAGGAGGAACAGCTTCCAGTCATGCGCCCACACAGCAGTCGAACGGCTCCAGTGTATCACCCACCATCATCCAAAGGGTCACGGCAGTGGGCGGACCAAACAGCAGTAACATTGCGGCCGCTGCCAACGCGCTCCTGCGAGCCTCGGCCGCCGGCAATGCCAACACCTCGTCCTCGTCATCGAGCTCCTCCTCCTCTTCCTCGTCGGCGTCGTCGAGCTCTTCGTCAGCCTCTTCTTCCAGCTCAACTAACTGCGCCAAGAAGCTGAAAACAGAGCCCGCCCTCTCGCAGTACAACCAGACGGAACGCCTCAACTTCGCCAACACGTACATCGTGTGGAGCGAGGAGCACTGGCGACGGGTGGTCTTCCACGACGAGCGGCGCTTTAACCTGGACGGACCCGACGGCTTCTCCTACTACTTTCACGACTTGCGGAACTACGAGCGCACTCTGTCGCAGCGGCCGCGCGGCAACTCTGTCTACATCTACCTGATGATCTGTGTGGGTGGGGCCCTCCATCTGGAGGTGTCGTCAGCCAAACTGCGTCCTGAGTCATGCATCGAGGCCGTTATGCGCGAGCGACCGAATATCATCAGCAAACTAGGTGGTAGCACAGAGTTTGTGCTGCAGGACCACAACTGGATGTCGCATGCACTGCCCACGGCCCAGGACCTGCTCAATACCAAGGGTCTCAAGACCCAGAAGTGGCCGTCCATTGCGCACGACCTCAACATTATGGAGAACATCTGGGGCTGGCTCATCCGAGAGGTGTTCGACGGCGGCCGGAAGTTCTCGCGCAAGGACGACTTGATATTCCGCATCAAGGAGGCGTGGTCCCGACTGCCGCTCGATCTGATCACCAACCTGTACAGCACCCTGCCGGAGCGCATCACGGAGCTGTACTACACACAAGGCGTCTACACGAATTGTTGACAACCGACAGAAGAGCAACGTGGACGTGGATGTGGATGTGGTGGTATGTTGTCTCCCAGCTCAGGGCACTCCCTTCGGCTCAGCTCCGCCTGGAAGTGGGAGTGGGAGTGCAGACGGATTCGATTCTAGGACTTCGTCCGTCTAAGGGGAACTTTCACGACCTGATCCTGCTGCCGATGCCAACACGCCTGGCATCCATCCCGCTGGGTCAACCAGTGGGATGGGGGCGTGAGCGGCGTTCCTCTGCCGGATACAAAAATCAATACAGAAGAAGGAAATCTTTATACAATTCAACTTAACTTTTTGTGTATAGCTTTAAGATGTGTGCAACAGAGCAGACCAGACCGTACCGGACGGACCGACCGACGGACGGACATACGGGAGCGGGACAGAGAGACGCCTGGTTTAAGGTTATACAGTTTTTTTTTAGTTATTTAAAACAAAAACAAAAAAATGGAAAAACATGCAAGAAAAACAATCGCGCGAGAGGTTTGGGCACGCCATGTGTGTGTGGTGACACTGGCAGACACACGAAAAGTGTTGCCATATCGCTTTGTAATTAGTGTTTTTATTCCTTCCTTCACCCGTATCCACCACATCCACACACACACACACACTCCCGCACCCCCCGCATAATGTGTAAGGCTTAATTTTAGTTGACGTTTGCCTCCTTTTCTACCCAATCCCATCCCCCAACTCCCCTCCCCACCACACCCAACGCCCTAAATATACGTATTTAGATTATACATATACATAATTATTAGTTGCAAAACAAATTTATTTGAACTTAACTCCTTTTGTTGATTGTTTTTAGTTATGCAAGCGAGAAATGTAGTAGTAGAGAAGAGAAAGACGCATGAAGAGCGCAGAGGAAATTTATGAAAAGCGAGAAGAGCAAGCAAGATGAAATGAATAAATAAACTTGTAACTAAAGTATTATTGTAAGGCATAGTTTTTGTTGTAGCAAAATACGGAAACGAACTCACGTAAAATTATACAGACAGACAAAACACACACACACACACACTCACATAAATAAACACACGCAAGAATCCTATCATGTAAAATGTTTACGAACAGAAATTATAAATAAACTAATTATCAATGTAATTAATACATATTAAACAAAAGAATAACAAAACGAAACAAAGCAAAGCAAAAGCAACTTAGTGTTAATTTAAGATCAAAAATAACTAACTGAAGAGTATAGAAAACTAGAAATCGATAGAAATCATGCTGAATTCAACCCCAAACGAAACCGAACCCAAACCCAGCCCACATCCGCCCTTCCCTACCCCCACCGTCAGACAGAAAAGAACCCATAAAACTCGAACAAAACTTCCTAGTGATGGGTGGCAAAAGCACTTCATTTGCCACCGCTAAATGGCAGCTACTGGCGAGCTCCGTTCTTGGTGTTTCTGTGAGAGAAGGCAAATGGATAGTACGCTCCCCATGAAAACCCATATTTAGCAATACAATGAATGAACTGAACAAAATGAAAGCAACTAATCTATGAAAGTATCCTTGAAATAAACACACACATATATATGTATGCATATATGTATATGAACCGTATAAAAACACTTATCTCTCAATTGTAATTTGGCAGATACGATATGTGAATGTGATTCCTCTCTTGTTTCGCTTTGTGCAATGCATGAACTACTCTGGAAAGAACTTTATACATCATGCATATACACATAAAAATACACAGAAAGATCAACAAAAGTGGAATTATTACGATTAAATAATAAAAACACGAGAAATGCAATTACCAATAAAAACTACCAGCAAAATACGTAACAAAACTCAAGAATACCCCAAATGAGCTTTTATTCCTTGCGATCGATAGGAATTATGCGATTACCGATATCCTGATGATCGGATTTGAATCCTTCTATATTCGATAGAAAGGCAGTTTCTAATTTTAAAAGGCTTTATTCAAAATTCGTGTGCGTTATAAAAATTGGTTTCCTGTATACATGATACTTTCCAATGTGTAAATATCTCTTGTATATATATATACTAAAGGTGTATACATACTCTATTTGGTCTATTGGCACGGCAAAAGTGTTTGGAGTTGTAAATATCGTTGCATTCAAATCTATTCTAGGCACTTTTGAGTCTGTTGCAATCAGTTGAATGTTCGTATTGGGGCTACATTATGCTTTCATACTTTGTGCAGTCACATTGAAATACTGTTAAGTGGTTCCGTTCGGAGTCTGTGTGACATTTTTCATGGAATCCGGCTGCGTACACAGGTGGGACTGCAAAAGGGCAAGTCCTGCTTGACACAGAATCGGCCACCGATCAGCGACTTCGAACATTGGACACCAGCGCAGACAAAGCACTGGCCATGCCAGTGGATGTCGCCCCAGGCCACACCCTGGTCCGCCGGACCGATGGGCAGCTGACACTGCCTGCAATTGACGGCAAAGAACTTGTCGTAACACTGCAGACACAGCGGCATGTTGGACTTCTCGTCGGGAATGTACTGCTGACCGGCCAGCGGCTCGTCGCACTGGTAGCAGCAGAAGTGCTTTATGTGGTACGTGGCGCCCTCGGCGGCCGTGTACTCCTTGGTGAAGATCAGCTCGTCGCAGGCCTTGCAGCGTGGAATCTTCAGCTTGATGGCCAGGTCACGGCCACAGTACACCTGTCCCTGGTGGAAGAAGTAGACCAAGTCGGCCAGCAGCTCGCGGCAGGTGTGACACTTAAAGCAGCCGGGATGCCAGGCAATCTCCTTGCCGGCACGTTCTGCCTTGACGGCCACCTCGCCGCAGCCAATAGGCTGACTGCAATCGCCGCAGTTGATGGTGGGCACGGGCTCTAGGAAAGCATGAATAGTAGCATTAGATTGGAATGGGGGTGTGCCCTCTGAATAATCTCACCTCTCGCTGATGGCTCGGTGCCCTGCAGACGCAGCTGCTGGAACTGCTCCGCCATGCCCGCACAGTTGGGATACATGTTCATGTCTTCGATGCCTGGAATGGTGGTGAATTTTCCCTGGCCGGGGGTAAGATCATCGCTGCCATAGCCTGGGGTCGAGGGCTTCGAATGGAAGCCGGAATCGCTGCTCTGCGAAGTGGGCAACTCCCCGTAGGGCTTAGCATAGGCAATGTCTCGACTGGCATTGGCCATGTCAGCGAACACCTTGTCAATGTCGTCGAGGAGCTGCTCGTCGTTCAGCAGCCAGTCGTGCACCTGCTTGATGGGCTGCAGCAACTGGCACTTGTCGTGTTCAATTCCCTTGTCCTGAAGGGTGCGGAAGAGACGGTCATAGTACGGACCATTGGCCACCGCCGAATGGAGCATATTCCTGTCTACTCCGACTTGCTGCAGCTGCCCCTTGGTTGTGGGCGACAATCCACGCAGCTGGCTAAGGCTCTCCACGGCAGCTGGCGAGCTGGCAATGATTACGGGCGGAGGAGGACGGCCGGCCCGCGCCTCTAGCAGCGCCTGTTTCAGGGGCTCCGCTTGTATTATCTGGGCAAAGACTGGATCGCGATCATAGTCGATGTTGGCCGGCAGACCGCAGTCGTAGACAATGGTCGAGACGCCGCCGAACTTGACGCGTCGCATGGGCGTGTCCTGTCGCATTTGGGCACCGAATCTGGCCTGCACCGGATTCTTGAGCGGCAGCGGGGAGTTGAAGGGAGTAGCTGGCGAGGATTTAAGAGGTGTTACCGCTGTCATGGGTGGGGGACAGATGGTGTTAATCTCTGCCCTAAATTGTGGATTGTGCACGTACTCCTTGCGAAACTCGGCGATGGGGCCCAACTTGGGATCCCTTGAGATGTTCAGGTTCTTCTCCTAAAAGGGAATTTCATTTAATGAAGTTCATCAAAATCAAGTCCCAAGTGTATTCTTACCTGTAGCATGCCCAGCACTTTGTCATAGATGACGCCATGGGTCACAAGACTTTGCAGCGCCTGCTTGCTGATTCCCAGCAGCTTCTCCTTGGTGTGTGCCTGGAGGGCACCGTTTTCCTCAAACTGAGTTATAGAGTCGGTCAACGGCTCCGAGAAGGCCACAAGCAGCTTGGGCTGGGCATTCGCCTGGCTGGACAAGGCATCGGTCACCTTCGGATTGGACAGAAGCTCTGTCAGCGTGGCATCAGCTACGGGCGAGAGGCCCAGGTACTGCCAGGTCTTGTTGGCCGCTTCCGATTGGATGGGGGGTGTCACATGCTCAACATAGCCATGGGTCAAGCGGTTGCCAACGCGCACAACAATTCCCTGGCCCACGCATTGCTCGCGCAGCTTCTGCACATACTGCTGCAGCTGGCGGGCTTCTGTTTCGGACAGACCATCGCAAAGAGCTGCATCCAGATCGTGCGGAGGGACCTGGAACTCCAATTGCTGCTTCCGCCGGTGGGCCGCATCGCTGCCAGCCACGGGTATCTGGGCAGGACCCAGTTTCTCCATGTAATCCGTCACCACATCGGGAGCCGCATTCGGGGGAACCCACTCCAGTTGCACCGGCTGGCTGGCAAGGGCCTTGATTTTTATATCTAAATGTAAGTATCTTTTATAATGAGTTATTCGCTTTGTTTGCGATGAACCACTTACAAGCTGGCTTCGCCCTTATCTGGCCAAGAATCTCGAACTGTGCCCACCCGGTGGCGTCATCATCCGTACACATGTGTTGATTCTTACGACACTTGCAGTTCCGGCAAACCTTTCGCCAGAAGTGGAGATCCAGGCCCGGACATTTGTCTTTGCACTCGGTGCAGGGTGCTCCGGCCCCCGACTCATGTCCCAGCTTCGAACGCTTCAAGAGTTCGCGACGGTTTTCCAACTTCGACAGCCATTCTGGTGCTGTGGGTGTTTCCACGCACGAGTTGGGGCTCTTAGCATCGGACATGTTTGGGCAATCAGTGTAAAGGATTGACTGGCAGGTGACTCATATCCTGGGAGTAGCCGGCACCCTTAAGTTTTAGTTGAATTGGTTTTTGTTGTCTATAAAATAAATGTTGTCTATGTGACCGCGAATTCAGCGAAAAAATATGCCGTCTGACCACCAAAAATATTATTTACGGTATATCGGTATATAATGGTATATTTGATCAATTTCATCAATCTATTAAATTTCATTTTTAAAGGTATATAGAAATCCAATTAAAGCAAGTGTTTAAAATAAGCCTGTCAAGGAGAAAATTGATTCATTAATGGGATAAAATTATGTGGGCACGGCTGAGAGATCTGTTTAGCTAGTAATATTCGACGGAATATCAAAAACGAAGAATTTACATAATTGAACTTCAATTCGTCAGTATATTTACGGTATATGTTGACAATGAGACGGTATATTTTGGTATATTTCTGAGGGTCGGACGGTATATTTTAACGATAAATCCGTGGTCACACTGCCGCCAATTCAATTGCAGTTTTTTCGCAACAAATTTTAAATTTAATTAATTAACTAGAACGCTAATAAACAGTGGTAATAAACGTCATTGATTAAGGCTATCGTAAATGTGTGTACGGCAACGAATTATAGCCAAAATCGTGCTGCCATTCTCTTGGCCGAAGCAGCTTAAATTGTTTGATGCAAATTGCAGGAATACGAATACAGAAAAAAAATAGGTGAAAAACTGCGTCCCACTGAAAAGTGAAAGTGCAGCAGGGGAGAGACTGCAGATTGGCAGTGCAATATCTAGACCAAACAAGGCGCTGAACACTGAAAAAGAGATAGCAACTTATTATGTACAGACTTACAATAAAATACGATACAATTTTTACCGGTTCTGTTTACAAAAGCAAATTGGCTGTGTGGGCTTTGGGCAACAATTTGATTTGGCGTTGAAATTCGCACGGTGGTTGTTTTTGCCCCCAGAGCTTGCCTCTGGGTGTGTAAGTGTATGAGAGTATATGTTACTGTGTGTGTGTGTGTTTGTGTGTGCGTGTGGCTCTGTGTGTTTGTGGGTTGCAAGTCAAAATGAATGCGTTCATAAAAAGTGATTTCTGTGTGCTTTTTGCCCGAGGGTTGTTCGCCCGCCTCATCATGTGGTCCCCGCTTAATTGATTTTGATTGTTTCAGATAGCCAAGCTTCCCTGCATTGTTTTCCACCGCTCGCTTGCTCGCAGCCAAATTTCACCAAAGCTTCGAACACGGGCATCATGACCGAAAAGTACGACGGTAATGGCGACTTCTCCCCGTACAATGATGACGACAACGAGTACAGTGGCAAGCCGCGCAAAAGTACTGGTGGCGGTGGGCCCGGTGCCCACAACGGTGACAGTTCCGCCCACGACCATCATGGAGGCGATGGCAATGGAAGTGTTCAGATAAACGAGAAGGCCAATGAGTACATACGCGACTGCATGGCCGAAAGGAATCGCATGGACCGAAAGTTTCCCATTGGTGAGAAGCTTTTGGATGGCGGTAAGTGGTCTTGAACTCCACCTCCCATAACCAGATTTATTGTCCAACTAACATTGTGCATTGCGTCCGTCCCACACAGAGATTGAAAAAGTACAGACAACCGGGCGCATACCGTCGCGGGAGCAGAAGTACGCGGACATCTACCGGGAGAAGCCCCTTCGCATATCACAGCGCGTCCTAGTGCCAATCAGAGAGCATCCAAAGTTCAATTTTGTTGGCAAACTTCTGGGACCCAAGGGCAACTCGCTGCGCCGCCTGCAGGAGGAGACGCTCTGCAAGATGACAGTGCTGGGCCGTAATTCTATGCGAGATCGCGTCAAGGAGGAGGAACTGCGCAACTCTAAGGACCCCAAATATGCGCACCTCAACAGTGACCTGCACGTGGAGATATCAACGATAGCCCCGCCAGCAGAGGCATATGCACGGATCGCCTATGCCATGGCCGAGCTGAGGAAGTATCTGATACCCGACAGCAACGACATCATACGCCAGGAGCAGCTGCGGGAGCTAATGGACAGTACCAGCCTCAATGACAATGACAACGCCAAGAGCGGCTACAAAAAGGCCCCCCACATGCCCAGTGGCAACAATCTGATGAGCGGAGGTTCCGGAGGTCCCACTAACAACCCTGGCGGTCCCAAAAACACACCGCACCATAATTACAGGTATTATTATATCATAGAAAATAGATGTTCACTTTTTAATCGTTTTGCATTCTATTTTAGGGGCTCACAGCAGTCGTCGTTCAGCAAAAATGTGCTCGCCCCCAAGCAAAAGGTGATGTCCATACTGGAAAAGGCCAGAACGGCCATGGATGAGACATATGGGTGGGTCACAGTGCCTTTCTACCACAGATTTAGTGGATCGTTATTTAACCTGTTGCTTTTCGTACAGAAGAGGCTATGACGATGGCATTGGCTATGATCCACATCAGTCGTACGACAGCTACTCATATGGCTCACACGGCCACGGGCCGCCCACTAGTATACTGGGCGGCGTGGGCAGCATCAATAGCGGCGGCGGGCGTGGTGGTGGTCACTACGATAACACAGATTATGAGCCGGAGTACGGTCGGCGGGACTACTATCAGCATTCTCCAAGCTATACAGGTGAGCTGCCTTAGCAATTTCCACTGAGGAGAAACGCTTTAATGGGGCTTCCATTTATAGCAGGCGGGGGTGGTGGTGGCGGGGGAGGAGGTGGAGGCCATGGCTCTGGGGGCGGTGGCTCACAATCGAATGCAATTGGCAGCACTGGCCTCAGTTCCAACCACAATCGCAGCCATGTTAACAGGTGAAACTTACTGGGCCATAGCAGTGCCGGCGGAGGTCGAGTGAGCGGCGCAACAAGTGCCACCAATCCAGCATCAGCAAACCACAATCTGACGATGAAAGCCCCAACCCCAAGCAGCCATAACCACAGCAAGAACTTTACGCCAAGCCACGGAACTGAGGGCCAAAATGCGAAAAACAGCACTCCCAACTACTTTTACCACGCCAGTGGCAGCTCCAAGGTGAGCAAAAACTCTAAGACTTGACATGATGTCGACTAGAGATCTATGCTTTCAGCCAAATCAGCAGCAACTTCATCAGTCGCAACCAAAATTCCCACCGCAGCTTTCAGCCCACAACATGAACAACCACAACCCAAATAAAAACAGCACTATTTGTAACAAAACCACGAACAGCAACAGCAACAGCATCAGCATCAGCAGCAATAACAACAATAATAATACCAGCAACAACTTTCACCAGAGCAATAGCAACAACGATGTTTCGTTCTCCATATCCGCCTATATTCGTACACTCAACCAAATGGATTCCATGCCTGGCCAAAAGAGTGCCAATACCACCACAACCCATGCCAATGCCAATGCCTATACGAGGGCAATGCCAAACGTTGGCAACAGCAGCAAAACTCACACATTAGACAGCAAAAATAACAACAGAAACACCGCTACAAGCGCTACAGTGCCAGATATGCTATTAGTAAGGTATTGAAAAGAAACTTTAAAGAGCAGAACAACATCACCAAGCAACCATTCAAAAGAGAACGAACTCCTTCATCCTTGCACACAATAAACCGAGTCAATGCAAATAGATGCGTCAATGTGATGCGATTTTAGCTTTCTTAGATTATTTGCAATGTTTAATTCGTAATGATATATCCTGCTAGAATATGCCTAAAGCTATGATCATTGGTAAATCCAATCATCTATTTGCATTGATCGACAACAAGAACATCTCTCTAAATACAATTAACATTCTCTTACAGACCTGCTTATCCTTCTTCGCTACATATTGGTACATTTCCGTTCTTGCCAGTGCAGTTTTTCTGATTTCAACAATACAACAACTACATCAACAACAACATCAACATCAACAACTACATCACAAATACTTTGTACACTTAAATGCATAAGATGATATAGGGATGACGAGGGAGAAATATTTACAAAATGGAAACATACAAAACATATACATACATCTATATATACTATACATATATATATATTTTTGCGTGCAAGGATTAACGTTCTATGAAGATGAGGCTGGATCTACAGATTGAAACTTACTTTTGCGTGGGCAACAAACGATAAAATTGTGTCAAAGATGGATATACACACACACACACACACACATATACATACATACATATATATATATACATATATATTGTCCGATTTTTTATCTATATTTACAAGACATCTTCAAGATAATGGAAAGATTACTTAGAGCTACAATCGATACGGCAGTTGAATCAATAATTAGGTTCGCGGCCCAGCTCAAAGCTGGGATAGTATAACAGACAAAGCAAATTCAACTGACGAAGCAAGACAAAGCTATGTATAGGGACAGACCTGGCTGGGGCTGAGGGTCCGGTCGGGTGGGGTCGGGTCGGGTCGGGTCGACACAAAATCTATGAGATTAAATAACTAAATAAATATTAATATATACATATATACAATACATGAATATATGAAATAATTACAGAGGGCACATTTGAAATCATAATTTTATTTATATATGCATATATATTTGACAAAAACTAACGATAAAGATAAAGATACGGATAAAGATCAAGATAAAGATAAAGAATATATATATATACACATACAAATTATAATATTTACATTATTAACTGAGATCGCCTAGGCTTACGGTGAGGCAAAACACAAGCAAACAACAACAAGAAACAAACGATAAAATACCTAAACGAAGTTATGCAATACACGACATTTCAACATAAATTAAATATATCGAATACTAAAACGAATACAAATAACTAACGGAACACATGAATACACGTAAAATATGCGAATAGGCAAGTTATTCAGAGATTGTGAATACCAGGTCCATATACGGACAATGCTGCAAATGATTACTTTATTAAAACCCAAGATACGACAACAATAACAGAGTAAAAAGAATACTTAAAGCCAAACGTAAATCATAATGTAACGAAACCATAATGAATACTCGATTAATTTACACACATATGCGAAATTAAAGTTAAACCGACAGCTAACTAATACGATATTATAACAATATTAAACTATGTATGTACTTAACCCGCGACACGGGACAGGGCAAGCGGCGAGGAACCTATCCATTATGATCATTCTGACTTGAAGACAATGAAACGGATAGCCCTTGCCCGCCGTCCCTTAAATTCAATATAACTCTGAATAACAAGAATCCAAACCGTTACGAAGCTCGAGTTTTTTGTTCTGGTTTTGAAACCATTAATGAGGATTCTGTATAGTGTTTAAGTAGAAAGAACAAGCGTGTGCCAAATGTATGTAGGAAAGTGGTCAGGTCAGGTCAGAAATGAATCGCATCGGGGTCACCAATTGACACACCCATAATTGTTATTATTTAATACTTTGTTTAATTTATCTTTGGAGATCCGAGCGAACCAATTCAACTTATTCTAATGCAATGACTTAACAAATCAAATCGAATAAAATTAAAATTAAAAGAATATCTTGTCCAAAAACTTAAGAAACATTTACTTGCAACCATGTGAAACGTTAAATTGTTGAAAACAATTAAAATCTAGTTTTTAAAACAATATCAGTAATAAATGAAATAGCAAATAAACAAAGGAAATGCAACCATTTATTACAAATAATTATTGTTGTTACAAATTATACAAAAAAACACTAAAAAATAAAGGTAAACAATTTCAATAATAATAATCGAATAAAAAACTTCCCCCGCCCTAACAACAACAATAAATATATATACACTATATAGATATATATACTTACAAAGAGAATTCAAAGAAATAATATATTGCGATTGAGATTGAGTTATTCTCATTAATTATTATATGTAAAATTAAATAACACAAATAATAAATAAATCAATAAATATATTTAAAATGTATGGAAAATTAATAAATTCGAATTTGTGTTTACATTATTTATGATCATTTGGGAGATTCTAAAGAGCGCGAAAGAGTAGCTGTTTTTAACGAGTGACTAGTCATCAAAAGGATATTACTGTGGCAGATACCTGCTTACTGAATTTGTAATGTATGGAGCTGTAACCCTTACCCATTCATACAAATTTATGATACTCGTTTCCATGGTCCCAGTAGATGTAGCTGTAAAGAATCCCTTATCCAATCTGCAAATTTTCCAGGAAATCTAATGCTTACCTTTGATTCAAATTCATCCCCATAAGTAAAAAAGCCTTTCTTTATCTTTTTCTATCATAATTTATATAAATATAGTGGTTTATTTGTTGTTTTTCGCTCATTTTTATATTGCTTCACAATAATTGACTAGAGTAAACAGCTTAGGATTACGCGGATCCCAGGGTGACGCACCCCGCAGCTCGGGAGTGATCATCCCCTAGGTTCCCTCTCGTTTTACTTGCAGTGAGATCGCAGCAAAGTGACTAGAATGAGGGGCGGAGGCCCGGCTCTCTCGGTTAGGCGTGCAGTAGGCCATCGCTCTGGCCTACTAGCTTTCCGAGGAGAGTCTGGTACAGCGGCGACTCGGTGGGGATGCCCTCGCTCTGTAGGAAGAGGAGAGTCTCTCGGGCGCACATGGCGAAACCAAGAGCCTCGGCCTGGCTGCGCTGGCCAGGAGTGGGTGGTGCGAACTGGGCAGCCACCTCGGCGTCCAGGTTGTCATCGTCAAGGCTCTCTCCTTCCTGGTCATCCTCCTCCTCGTCAGCCACCGCTGCTTGGTAGCCATCGCGCTCGTCCAGGTCCTGCTCGAAGGCATCCAGCTCCGACTGCAGCTCCATGATCTTCTGCAGGGCCTCGAGCAAAATTCTGTTGGGGGAATCTTCCTCGTATCCCTCTGCTGGCTGCTCGGCAGGTGGGGTCAAGGGTCGGTGGCGCTTCTCCGGTCCTCCTTGCTCTTCTACCTCTTCCTGATGTTGTGGATGCTGCTGCTGCTGTTGTTGCTGTTGTGGGCGCTCCTCCGGCTGCTGCTCGTGCTCTCTTCTGCTGTGCTGATCCGCACGCTTGCGCTTCATGATCAGCTTGCCCGACATGGCTGGCGGAGGATTAGATAGATACTCTGGCTTCGATCTGGGATGGGTTGGGAAGGGATTCGACTGTCCGCGGCACAACCTTCGTTTAGCTGGCGATCGCAACGACTGACAACTGCTCCGATCCGAATGCACCCCGGCAACCAACTGGCAACTGGCGACTGGCAAGGGGCAACTCCAACCCCAAGTGCCACAGGAACCAGAGATAGCATAGCGGAGTGGCAGGGCGGCGCGGTGGCATTAGGGGATGTGACGACGACCCAAAGAAATTAAAAGCAAAGTCCAACAACAACAGCAGAAAAAAATTGTTGCAGCTGTTTGAATTGCTGCTGCCGCTGCGGCAGCTGAAGCGGGAAGGCAACAGGATACAGGCCAGGAGCAGCGGCTGGAGCAGGAGCAGGAGCAGCAGCAGGATATTGCAACAACCCCTGGCAAGCTGCTGCTCTCTGGCTGCAGCCGCCACAGCAGACGCAGCAGCGCAGTGGCAACAGCCTGGCTCTCGCTTCCTCTACTTCTACCACCATTCCATGTCCTGCCCTACGCTGCCGCGCCACGGTCCCCCTCCCTGTTCCTTTCCCTTCCCCTTTGCCCTGCCCTTTCCCTTTCCGTTTGGCTGTTGTCTCGTGGCTGTTCATCCCGAATCGAACAGATCCCTTCGGTTGGGTTCGGCCAGAAAGACTGCAGGCTGTCTCCTTCTTTTGAGGCAAAGATGGTTACAGAGATCTTTCGACAAAAGCTCTTCGCAGCAATAAAGTGATTCCATCTCCAGGGGAATCCCAGGGTACATACATATTTTATTTATCGCATGAATACTTTCTTCATTTATTATTTTATTATAGTAGGGTATTCCTCGCTCGGTTATGGCTGGTCGGATCGGGCATTTGCAGCTGGCACGCTTCACATTCAGCTCTGCTCTTCGATTTTCGTTGCCCCCGAGGACTGCGCCGAATGTCGACGATTCGTGAGTTTGACCTGCCATTGCAATGATAAGTGCAATGTGTCTGCACTGAGAGAAATTAGGGGTAGCAGCACCTAGGTTTTTCAGTTGCCATGGCAATTAAATATCAATCAAATCTTGTTTACTTCTGCCAACCAACGAAACTTTTGCTTTATTGTTGCTATATGAGCCACACACACATATAGGTATTATATTGGGGGTATAATTAGTAAATAAATAAACGGAATAAAAAATTCAAAGACAATAAATCGAATTGCTGCAAATATTTCAAACAAACAAATCGTTATTTCTTGTCATAATCTTGCCTATTTTCAGCCTGTATTTCCTCCCTATGCATAGGGAAATAGATTGAGTATTATATTGATTTGTGACAAAGTTTTTAATCAAACTGGAATTGAATTGTTAGAGGAATAAATTGAAGCATTTTGAATGTATTTTTTGTCTATCATATCTTTAGAGAATATATAGAAATAATAGCCTATAGGAACTATCAATCAATAGTTTAGTACTAATTGCTACATATTGTTGGACCCGTACTATCTCATTATCTATCCAATCATATCACATTGTTTATCATATATCTATTGTTTTATTGAATTAGTCGATGACTCACTATGTAATATATAATTTACCCGATAATCAATATGTTTATAGCCATATGCAGGCATGTATTGTGTCACCCACAATATCCTCATATATTCTTTTATCTCTTTATCATCTCTCACTTGATATTGTGTAATATTTCATGTTGTTTTTCTTGTGCTGCTCTGTTTTTCCGACACTCTCGATTACGTGTTAAACTTTACTAAGCATTTTTGTTTTATTTTCGAACCAACCCAATTGGTTTTGTTTAGTTCTCTTTTCTTTCTGGGGTATATTTAAACGACAAAAAGGCCAGCAAAGTGCTGCGAGTACCTACCTACATATATATTCGTCCAAGTAATTTAGGCCCATCCAGCTCTGTGCGAGTGCTGCCGCCATCTTCAGCACAGCCCAGCCACATAATACATCATCCACTGGCCCAGCTGTTGACTGACTGCCTCAGATGTGGGGAGTATAGTATATACTCGAGCCGTGGGCCCATACATACATATCTGATTGAACAGTTTGAAAGATCGCGCGGCAAGTGGCAGCAGATAATTGAGGTAAGATCGAGTGAGCGTGAGTGTGTGAGAGCACAAACTCGCGTCCAGTTGAATGATCAGCACACAGGCGAAAAAACGAAACAATTATAATCCCGTCATTGGGCCTCCTACTGAAAGACATTTTTGCCAGCAGACGCATAAATCTTTCCAAACTTTATCTATCAAATATTTTTGGGTTACCATGCCGCCCAAATGCATCATAAATCAGAGCAGAACAAGGAGCAGCTTTGTTATCAATGGAATTGGATTTTATTTCAAAAACAAATTCTTGAAAAGCACATTGTGTGCGATCACAATATTCGGTTTCAGGGCTAATTAATTTCTCTATCTCGCATTTCCATTGCCATTACCCATTTCTATTACTGGATCCTACTATATGTGCATTACTTTACTGTAAGGTTCTGTGTGATTCCCGTAAAAGCTTGCGATCATTTGTGCCAACGTGGGAAGATCAAGATCTGTTTTGGCAATTGCTTTGGGTATTTGGCGACAAGCACTTGCCCCTTTGCGATTGGCATTGACTCAGCAGTATAGATACAGATATACAGCGCAATATACGCTGTATAGGCTGTCCCCTCGATTATCTGCACCACAACCACCAATTCATCTGATTAGACACTGAAGAAGCGGGGGTGATAAGCGCTCTTCTGACACCGCCCCCTGAACAAACAAAAACCAGAATATAATAATGCAAAAAAAAGGTTAATAACAAATAAATAATGACGCTCCCAGAGCCACAGAGCGGAGCAGAGCAGAGCAGAGCGGAGTCAGAGCCAGAGCCAGGGCCGAACGTTATCGCAATCTATCCACTCCGCCCGCTCGGCGAAACAGTAAATTTTGGTTGTCGGTTGTCGGCTCTCAGTACTCCGCTCGGTTATAACGGTTGTGTGCCGTGCTGCTGTTTGGGCCAATTTCGGGTCAGTTAGCCCGTGGATCGTGTGACGAGTGCATGTAAGTAGCGTTCAACGGCCTGCCCCTACCTAAATTCACGGCCAAATCGCTTGGTGTCTGTCTCCGTCTCAGTTTCGGTTTGAGTTTCGTTTGAGTAGGCAGCGGCTATCGGAAACAGATTTCTTTCAGAAGTATCATTAGCCCGCCATTAGCCGCACAGAGAGCCAAAGAGCGTTTCAAGCTCAACTTCAGCTCCGATTCATCGCCATTACCATTCACAGCTTTGAAAGAAACCAGTTAATTGAGTGGCTTTCCATGGCAGTAGCCAAAAAAGTTCGATCGAATGGGAGCGGATGGGTGAATGGCGTTCCGCGTGTATTTGCACACGCAGAGCTTGATAAGCTGCCGATTAGATTTAAGGCACGCCATAAACCATACTATTAAATGATTCGAAGTGCGGTTTTGGCGGGGCTCGTGATTGATAAATATTTGCCAATAAGTACTGCCAGTGATAACATCTCAAATTAGATGGTTAGCTGAGCGGAAGGGCTTGATATAACCCTTCAAATGTTATCATTTGGTATTTGATTTACGGCACTTGATTGTTATATCTGTCTAATCACACGGATAACCTTTGCCATTCCAGTGCGAAAATGCCATCTGCCCGGACCTTCTTCATCGCCGCCTGTTCGCTGCTGGCCGTGCTGGCCCCGACAGCCCGATCCAACCCCATTGATCCAAAGAATGCCGATGTGGCCACGGAGATCATTATCCTGCACAACAATGACATGCACGCCCGGTTCGAGCAGACGAACGTGAACAGCGGCACATGCTCCCAGGAGGATGCCAATACGGACCAGTGCTACGGAGGATTCGCCCGAGTGGCCTATGAGTGCGTACGCTGAATATTTGGCCCTCGGACATTTTCTAATCTACCAAATAACTTCTTCTCCTCTTACCCCAAAAAAAGAGTTCGCAAGTACCGCAAAGAGGCTGAGAACGGTGGACCTGCCGTCCTCTACCTGAATGCCGGCGACACATACACGGGAACTGCCTGGTTCACCATCTTCAAGGATGAGATTGCCAGCGCCTTCCTCAACAAACTCAAGCCTGATGCTATCGTAAGTGCTGGCGGTCTCCGCCGGTTTGCCGAACAAGACTAAATCCCCACCTCCTTTGCAGTCGCTGGGAAACCACGAGTTCGATAAAAATGTCGAGGGTCTAATCCCGTTCCTGAATGACGTGGAGTTCCCCGTGCTGGCCTGCAACCTCAACCTGACCAACGAGCCAGACTTGGCTGCCACCAAGTCGTTAGCCAACTCCACCATCCTCGAAGCAAATGGAACCAGGATCGGCGTGATTGGCTACCTCACGCCAGACACTAAAATTCTGGCCGCCAAGAACAACGTGGAGTACGTAGATGAAATAGTGGCCATCAAGTGAGTTCATCCCTTAACATTTATGCATATCCGAATAGAAGATGGAGTGACTCTTTCATTCCGCTTTAGTGCTGAGGCAGCGAGGCTTAAAGCTGACGGCATCAAGATCATCATTGCCTTGGGCCATTCGGGCTACCTCAGGGACCAGGAGATAGCAAGGAGCTGCCCGGATGTGGATATTGTCATTGGCGGACACTCGCACACCTTCCTTGACTCCAGCCAGCCCGTGGCCGATCCCACGGACTCTGATCAGGAGGCCGTGCGTGGCCCTTATCCTACGACAGTGGTGCAGGAGAACGGCAAGAAGGTGCCAGTGGTCCAGGCCTATGCATACACAAAATATCTGGGCAAGATCCATGTGCAGGTGGGTGCCACAACTAAACCACTCTGTAGCTAATGATAACCGATAACTGAATCCATATATTCCCAGTTCGACGCTGAGGGAAATCTGCTTGAGTTCGACGGGGAACCGATCCTGCTGAATGCCTCCGTGGCCCAGGAACAGGAGCTGCTGGACCTGCTGGAGGTGTACCGACCCAATGTGACCGCTATGGAGAACTCTATTGTGGGCTACACCAAGGTGCATCTCGAGGGCGGCAACGTCTGTCGGATGAGGGAGTGTAACTTGGGCAATCTGATCACCGATGCCATGGTTTATGCGCGCGTCTTGGAGGAGGAGGGTGGCGAATACTGGACAGATGCACCCATTGCCCTGATGCAGGGAGGAGGTTGGTCAATCACTTCAAAAGTGCAAAACCCATTAACAGTCCGACTATATCTAACTCTGATTTCTCTGTAGGTATTCGAGCTGCTATTGAGAAGGATGCGGACGGAAATATCACGGGTAGCGATCTCCTTGCCGTCCTACCCTTCGAGAACGATTTGTTCGTCACGAGGGTGACGGGCAAGACCTTGCTGGCGGCTCTGGAGCACTCGGCTGGGGTGAGGTTGCTGGATTCCAATGGCGGGTTCCTGCAGATGTCGGGCCTGCAGGTGGAGTACAACTACAACAACGCCGAGGGTCAGCGCTTGGTCTCCGCGCAGGCGCTCTGCGGCGACTGCATCGTGCCGTCGTACAGCAGGGTCAACGAGAGTGCCAACTACTTCGTGATCGTGCCCCAGTTCCTGCTCGAGGGCGGCGACGGTTACACCTTCACCGAGCAGAGCGACCCCCTCAGCATTCGCATGCAGCGCAACGATATAGTCTCCGTTATCGTTTACCTCACTCAACGGCACTACGTCTATCCCGAGATCCAGGACCGTATAGTCATCCACGAGAAGGACGACAAAGGTTCGGGGGCCAACATTGTGGCGTCCATCGCCCTCATCCTGATCTCGTCCCTGGCCACCAGATTCATAAACTAAACAAATCCTTCTATTCGTATCCTCCCTCCATAGCAAAGCACATGTATTGTATTGTATGAAATTATGCAAACTTTTGCCACTAGCTCAATTTTTAGTCAGTATATGTATATTGTATAATCTTTCGTTCTTCCAATTGCGGTCTTATAGGTTCAACCAAGACATACTACTATCTAGGCATATTTGCAAATACATTTTGTGCAATATCGTTACTTAAATGAGGAATACTTTTTTGATTTCCATTGGGAATAAATACCGCCTATCCGCTAGAGTTTTGTTCTATTTGCGTGACAGCTTTCAATGGGAATATTTGTATGCTTTGATATAACAACTACACTTTGTTTCGCGACCGATAAGATACGACAGCTTCCATGCTGTGACAGCCTGCTTTTTGAAAGAGCAAGACATTATACTCTTCCAAAGAGTAGTATAATTTTGATCAGGATTTCCGACTTTAGCAGATATTCTTGATCAGGGAACGCTCTTATCTAAAGATAAACCAACCACACAACAAGTTGCTACGGCAATGATCGATTCGAAAGGGTGTCAAAAGCTTCGGCACCCGAAGCTGGCCAAGCTTTCGGATTTATAATTAAGTTTGTGTCGTGGTCACTGGACTCTTACTTTCCATGGGCGAGCATTTGAGTGACAGAGATGGCAGCTGTGAATGAGAATGAGAAATGCTACACTGCGCTCTCATTGCATAACTTCGCGAGTGATAAGACACGACGACAGCTTCCCTTAAGAGAGAGAGAGAGAAAGAGAGAAAGTTCTTTCGCATGCTCTCCATTTAGTGCCGAGGCGATCTTCGTTACAGGCATGAACAAGCAAATTCCGATAAAAGTCATAACAAATCGGACCGGCACATTTTGAACCCGCCCGGCATCGGCAGACCGTGCTCGACGCTCAGTGCGATCATAGACACTGCTTGCAAAGGTTGTATTTATTTTAATCGCGTTCAAGCCAGAAATTATTGTAAATTAAATGGGATGATCAGCAATCAGTTATCATTACCCATTCCTGACTTAACTGCTTACCTGAATTTGGTAGAAGTAATTGCCCATTTGGGGCGGGTGCCATTCGCGTGAAACAAAAGTGATTTCTATAGTCGATATGTCGCCAGCTGATCAGATTTATGTACATATTTTGTGTGCACTAACCAAATGGAATTCCTCAGGTGTAAATTCCAAAACTGCCATAAACTTTCGTTCTAGCTAGATAGCTGTGGGCTATGCCGAATACAAGCCCCTAAATATTTTTTGGATATTCATTGAGGTCCATGTGTGCTTAGTGTTGTGATATATCGTTTCGCTTGTTGATCCCTAAACACCTTATTGTTTCCTATTACATTATCTAATACATATAATGGGTAGAAAAATCCCCTGCTAAGCTACAGTCTGGAAAGTTTTTAGCTTTGATTGATGCCGCCTGTATCTGTAGCTGTATCTGTGTCTATCAGAAGTCTATATGTATGCGGGATAGTCTGGAAACCGCAAGTGAGATTATATTAAGTGATGGCATTAAGTGATCTACATATATATACATAAGTGGGGAGTGAAATGCTTTTGTCGCCTGCACCCAAAAGTTGACACAAATCGGATTATTTTGAAATTCCCCAACCCAAGCTCCGGCTCAAGCTGTGCACACAGCTTTCAGAATATATCTTTCAGAATTTCAAAACGAAATATAGGCACATATGTGCAATTTATTAATTTCTGTATAAAAACACGTACATTTGAAGGTTTTGTTTTGTGCAAAATTCCCAGGTTATTTATGCGTTTTGTGGTATTTATTTACATTGCGAATACCCGCCTGAATAGATATTGAAATATGGTTTGTTTTCCGTTACCCAATTTATTGCCCTCTTTTGTTTATCTCCCTGAGAGCATGTGGGGAGAGCTGGGGATTGATCAAGGAGATGAGATCTCAGATAGTTTTTTAATTGCCTGACCGCAATATTTTGCCGGCCACTGTCCCCCCCAAAAAAGTCATTGGCTCACGCTCCAAATGATTTTTTGCTGAACAAACAAATTAATTACGTTCAAAGTGGCATTGCGGGGCGACTCATCATTTGAATTCAGTATATATGTATTTATTTTTTTCGCACTTTTGCTAACTTGCTTGGGTTTGGGTTTGAATTTCGGTTTCCGTTTCGATATGATATGGTACAGGGGCAGAGAGACCTTATATACGGGTGCAGATATCACTCGAGTGGCTGCGAAAAACCACTAAATATAACTATAATTAGCCAGTCGCAAAGAGTCTGTTCTGGGAGCAACTAGAAGAGTAACATGGAGTGTCATTTGTCACCTAATTAATTGCTAGTGCTGTAAAAACATCGTACGGACAGTGAACGCTCTCCCAGATGACCACCAAATATAAGAAAAGATAATAGCTATCAAGAGCTTTTTGTGGTCATAACTTAGTTGAAATAAACCTGAAATTGTTGATCAAACAAAGATGGTTAGACCTATAAAGATTTGACCGACAATTATCAAAAGTTTGTTTAAGCGTTACAATAATGAAAATATCAACTATCATTTCCGTGCAGCTCAAAGATGCTCCGACACTGGGCTTACGGCATTCTAGTAATTCTTTTAGCCCACCGTTCTGAAGGAAATCCCATTGAGCGCAAGGCAAATGTGGCCACAGAGTTCATTATCCTGCACAACAATGACATGCACGCCCGGTTCGAGCAGACGAACGTGAACAGCGGCACATGCTCCCAGGAGGATGCCAATACGGACAAGTGCTATGGAGGATTCGCACGAGTGGCCTATGAGTGAGTAGGGGGAATCCACAAACGTATCTCTATCCAATCTCTGGATCAATCAGCTAATGAAATGCGCTTCCACCAGGGTTCGCAAGTACCGCAAGGAGGCGGCGGATGGAGGAATGCCCGTGTTCTACCTCAATGCTGGCGACACTTACACGGGCACCGCTTGGTTCACCATCTTCAAGGACAAGATCGCCAGCAGCTTCCTCAACAAACTCCAACCAGATGCTATTGTAGGTCCAGAGCTCAAGACCTGCTGAATTCTTAATCTCAATATGTATTCCCTATGTTCTTTTCCAGTCCTTGGGTAACCACGAGTTCGACGAGAAAGTAGAGGGCCTAATACCCTTCCTCAACGAGGTCGACTTCCCGGTGGTGGCCTGCAATCTGGATATGAGGAAAGTGCCCGAGTTGGCTGCCACCAAACATTTGGTTCCCTCTACGATCCTGGAGACCCAGGGCACCAAGATAGGTGTGATTGGCTATTTGACGCCAGATACTAAACAGCTTACCCTCCAGAGTGAGGTGGAGTTCTACGAGGAAGTGGTTTCCATCAAGTGAGTTTGGTTCTTGGCTTAATCTGGGATACTTGTGATCCCTAATCGCATCCCTCTTTTGACAGTGCTGAGGCGAAGAAGCTGAAAGCGCAGGGCATCAAGATAATCATTGCCCTTGGCCATTCTGGCTATCTGAAGGATAAGGAGATAGCCAAGAACTGCCCGGAGGTGGATATCGTTATTGGTGGCCACACCAACACTTTCCTCTACAACGGCACCCAGCCCGATATAGAACACATCGAAGGTCCCTATCCCACAGTGATCAAGCAGAAGAGTGGCAAGGAGGTGCCTGTGGTGCAGGCCTATGCCTACACAAAATATCTGGGCAAGATCCATGTGCAGGTAGGTGCCACAACTATGCCAGTCTGTAGCCGATATCTAAATCTATATATTCCCAGTTCGATGCTGAGGGAAATCTGTTTGAGTTTGATGGTTCACCGATCCTGCTGAATGCCTCCGTGGCCCAGGAACAGGATCTGTTGGACCTTTTGGAGGTTTACCGACCCAGCGTGATACATCTGGAGAAGTCGGTGGTGGGCCACACGAAGGTCTACCTGGAGGGACGCAAGGAGGTGTGCCGCGACAGGGAGTGCAACCTGGGAAACATGATCGCCGATGCGATGGTCTTCAGTCGCGTGCGGGAGGAGCAGGGCGGCGACTACTGGACCGATGCGGCAATCGCAGTCATTGTGGGAGGCGGTTCGTAGGATGCTCCAATGCTCCATTACACCCATTTGTTATCCTTGAGTTCTTTCAACTTGCAGGCATACGCAGCTCGATCGAGAAGAAGTCCGACGGCTCGATCACCGACAGCGACATCCTAGCTGTTCTGCCCTGGGGCAATGACCTGTTCATGACCCGAGTATCTGGCAAGACGCTACGCAATGCTCTTGAGCACGGGGCGGCTGCCCGTGGCAAGGACTCGGACGGCCCCTTTCTGCAGGTCTCCGGTATCCACGTGGTCTACAACCCCAGGAAACCCGAGGGCCAGCGCGTCGTCTCGGTGCAGGTTCGATGTGCCGCCTGCCGCATTCCCACCTACAGCGACCTCGACGACGCGGCCTTCTACAATGTGATTGTGCAGGAGTTTCTGTTCAACGGCGGCGATGGTCATGTCTGGAAGGAGGCCAACAACCCACAGCACCAGCGTCTGCAGCGGAAGGACAATGAGGCCGTGAGACAGTATCTGCGGGAGCGGGACTACATCTATCCGGAGGTGGAAGGACGCATTATATTTAAGGGCGCTGCAGGTGGCCTCTTTGCCTCTGTGTCCCTGCTTCTGCTCTCATCCTTGGCGATGCGTGTCGTGAGCTAAACTTCTGTTCGTATTTCGTTATTAAACTTTTGTGTGAGTGTTTTTTAAACGTTTCTGACCAATCAGATAAGCATAAGGAAATTAACAATGACTGTATTTAGGATTTCACAATTTATGAAAGAGTTCCATAGACCTTGAAGACAGCTCGTTCGATGTTGTCAATGAACCAATGTGATTCCAAAAGGTAGTCGCCTTCCGGAAAGGGCAAAACCGCTGATACATGATGATCTATGACGTTGGTGGCCAGCTGATCCACAATAAGATCGTGCTGCAGGCGAATGGTGATTATAAATATAGAATCAGATCAAGCTGGAAGGATCAATAACTTACATGGTAGGGACATGAATGGTTCAAATTGGAGCTCTTCTCAAATATGCCGAACAAGTAATTAGCGACTGGATTAGACTTTCGATTATTCAATAGTTTACAGGCATCGAGGGTAATATTGTAGAGAAATGGTTTGTACCCATTTAACCGTTGGTATAGTGCAGCATTAACCTTAATAGTTCCAATAGAAAATATAATTTAATAATAACAGAAATAATAGTGTATTCGCACCTTGACGTTGGTAATAGGAGGTTGTAGCAAGTGAAGTTTTCCGGACAGATATTTGTAGCTCCGATTGACCGACTTCAGATAGCAATAATCTATTGTGCAGTATAGTTTATCCACACAATTGCATTTCAAGTTGGTAAATTCAAATTTTGATGTGATCTTAGACAAAATATTTTAAGCAATTATATGATCGGTTTGATATATTAAGTGGAGTTGTGTAGCTGATACATACCTCGCTGATAAAAAACAGCATCCAAATGAGCTTAAACAGGTTATGCTTAGCACGCATGTTGAGGTTTTGACGGTCCAGCGAAAACTATTAGCATTTCGAACGATTTTCAGTCAATAACTGAAATTCGCCATTATACATATGTGCACTAAAGCGGCTAATACACTAATAAATTATTTGATAAACTACTGAACCAAAAATTTCCATAGCGCACATGATAAAATTGTAAAGCTTACATTAACAATAGTTTTCCAATTTACTTTGGGAATACACATCAATTGGGACTACATTTTTCACATTCCGCAAGATTTATTTGTTTTCAAAACGAAAACATTTTCGTTGACGAAATGAAAAGTAAACGGCATTTTATACAACGAAACGAATCTTAATTGCAAAAGGACAAAAATAGATGGCTTATTGATGCATTAACATAAACTTGACAGCTATTTCAGGGCAATTTAACTTTAGCTTTCTTTATAAATAATTTTATTTTAACCCAACCTCAAATTTGGCTCGGAAAACATTGGCTAGGGCAACAACAATTTTCGTTTTGGTGCAAACAGCAAAAATATGTGAAAACTGGAGAACCTTAAATCGAAAACAAAACGTTTTAGCTGAAAACGTAATCCGCAAAAGTAAATAAAAAACGGTGCCTGCCTGTATAACGAAAAGCCTGTCACCCCAAAAGTATGCACCACATTAACAAGTATTAATCATGTAAAAACCATGCCAGCCCAAAAGAATGCAACACTCTAAAATGTAGAAATCATGTAGAAAGTTAAAGTGACATGTCATGTAAACTGAGTGCAGGAATATATTGCATAAGTTGCATAATTATTGTACTCCAGTTACAACTCGATTTGTTGTTCCTAAGAACGAAGTTAGTTAGAAGTTAGTACTAAATATGTACATACTGCTGAACAGAGTCGTCTATAGTTTTCCCTTCAATCGATGAAACGTCAACTGTGGAATGTTGAATGCCGACCTGCAGTTGATCGTGGGCATGCTTCTGATTTTGCTGAGGCACGGCTGCGGAATCAAGTTCACGCTGCTCCACACGAACGACATGCACTCCTGGTTCGATCCGCAGTCGGAGAGCGGTGGAAAGTGCCAGGCGGGCGACGATAAGCAGGGACGCTGCTTTGGGGGATTTGGTCGCGTGGCCACTGCGTGAGTGTCCAGCGAGTGGAAGATTAGACTGATTAGAATCTTCATTTCATTCTTAGCGTCTCAGAGGCCAGGAAGGCGGGCACGGTGATCTATTTGAATGGCGGTGACACGTTCCAGGGCACTCCCTGGTACACGATCTACAAGGGGAAAATGGTGGCTCAGCTGATGAATATGCTGGCCCCCGACGCCATGGTAGGTGGGTGGGAATACGCGATATCCTAGCTACTACTACTACTGCCGAGGCGGACTCCCACAGGCGCTGGGTAACCACGAGTTCGATGATGGCGTCGATGGACTCGTCTCGTTTCTGGAGCTGGTCAAGTTTCCTGTATTGGGCTGCAACCTGGATCTGCGGAAGGTGCCCAAGCTGCAGGCCTTGAAGCAGCTGGTTAAATCCACGATCATCACCAAGGAGCACACAAGGATCGGAATTGTGGGCTATATACGGCCTGATACTAAAGATCGTGTCCAGCCAAGCGATGTGGTGTTCACCAAAGAGATACCCGCCATTAAGTTGAGGATCAAGTTGGCAGTCGATTGCATTTATCTTTGGGCTAACTCTTTCAATCTCATTGCAGCGCGGAGACAAAGAAGCTTTTGGATCAAGGGGCTACCATCATCATTGCTCTGGGACACGCCGGAATCGAAAAGGACAAGGAGATAGCCAGGGACTGTCCAGATGTGGACATTGTCGTGGGCGGCCAATCGCACACGTTCCTCTACACGGGTAAGCCCCCAGACAAGGAACTGCCCGAGGATCGCTATCCCACCATCGTTTTTAAGCCGGATGGGATCAAGGTGCTCGTCCTGCAGGCATATGCCTTCACCAAATATCTGGGCTTCATCGATCTGGAGGTAATTGTTACCTTCAGGACCTTTAGATAGTCCTAAAGGGTTTCATTCCATTCCCTATGCAGTTCGACAATGTCGGCAACCTGTTGAGCTTTAAGGGCAATCCCATTCTTCTGGACAACTCGGTCGAACCCCGCCGGGATGTCCAGGAACTGTTGGACAGAAAGCGCAAGGTAATCGACGACATGGAACAACACGTGGTAGGCACTACCATGGTGCACCTAAACGGGGATCGGACCAGCTGCAGATTGGGGGAGTGTAACTTTGGGAACATTATCGCCGACAGCTTGGTCTATGCCCGAGTGCTGGAGCAGACGGGTGAAAGGAAACACTGGACGGATGCGGCCATTGGGTTGATGAATTCCGGAGGTAGGGGCTCGATAGGGCATTCATTTGAAAGCTCCCTTATACAGTCATCCCCGATAGGGATACGGGCCTCGATCGGTCCGGCCCAGTCGGGGGCCATCACGGAGGCGGACGTGATGGCCGTGTTGCCCTTCGACAGCGACCTGTACTACACCAGAATCAGTGGCGATCACCTAATGAAGGCCTTGGAGCACTCTGCTGATCAGCGAGACACGGAGTCGACTGGGGGCTATCTACAGGTGTCCGGATTGCGCCTCAAGTTCAACTACAACCGCACCAAGGGCCAGCGTATCTCGTCGATCCGCGCCCGGTGCACCAACTGTCAAATACCCTTCTACGAGATCGTCGACAGGGATAAGTACTATGGTGTGATTGTGCCCTACTTTCTCCTGGCCGGCGGCGATGGACACAGCTTTGTGGATCCCGACCAGCCAGAGTTCTCCAAGCTGTTAATGAACGATCGCGAGGCGCTGATCAGGTACCTCCAGGAGCACAAGATCGTCTATCCAGAGCGTGAGGAGCGCATCATCGGCCTGGAGAGGAAAGCGTCCTGCTCCAGCAGGATTCTGGCAAGGCTTTTACTCATTTTGTTTTCCCCTATTCACTTCACACTTCAATGATTACGTAAAAGATTGCCCTAAAACACAATATCAGATCATTTTGCATCTACGGCTGTTCTTCTGCTGCTTAGATACAAGGTGCAAAACGATCTCATTGACATCATTATCATTAGCATTCACATTGGCCTTCTGTTTTTGCCTATTACTTACGTAATCTCTTACAACGATCAGCAGTCCGGTCCTGAGCATTGACCTCTCCCATATGGTCGAGGGAGAACTGAACTCTAACATGCGCATATTTTCCAGATCAGCGCTCAACTTCTTGTGACTGATCTGACACTGGTCTTCAAGTTCATATTTCCAGGTGCTACCAGCATGACTTGGACTCTCCATTCCATCTGTCGCTCCCTGTAATTGACTACCAAATGAATGCTACTTATCTGTATCTACTTCTTTGCCTCTGACTCTGTTGCTGTCGCTCTGTCGCTGTCGCTGTCTCTGTCTCTGTCTGAGTTGGAGTCGGAGTTGGAGTCTCTGCTCTATGTTCGTTCTGGGCTGTCTTCTGCTAGTGCTAAGCACTATTAAATTCCCCATGGTTAGGCTTTTCATGAGAAGTTCACGCTCAGCCCCGAACAGAACGGACCCCGCCGACCTCTGCCCACATAGTAATAGTCATCAAGCTCGTGTTGCGTCCCCCTTGCCATAGAAAACGCCTCTGCCCCTGGCTTTGGCTTTGGCCTCAATGCGGCTACTGGCGGCGTCATTCCGTGTTCAAGCTCCATCCCCATCCCCAGCCCTAGTCCCAGTCCCAGTCCCAGTCCAAGCTGCTGTCGTGAGAAGCACATACTCGCGCGCACACACATACAAACACACCCGCACCCGCATCCGTATCCCACATCCGCATCCACATCCACATCCACATTCATGACTCCTCCTCGATCTGCAGCTCTGTCTGAATCCGACTTGGTCGTAGGCGACATAAACACAATCTGCTGTCGACGTTTGGCTACAAAACTAGGTGGTACTGAGGAGGAGCTGGAGCTGGAGCTGGAGCTGAAGCTCCCTCTCATGGAGATTGGTATGGTACGAGTATGTAATTATGTAGCCTCGACTAGGGCCTGCCGTTCGGACGTCGGTCAAGTGCAGAGCCGGGCATTTCTGCACGGCACTTGGACTCTTGGAGCTGGGCCATGGCCATGCCATTCAGCTATCAGTCATTCGGTTAGTCATGGCTCAGAGGGGTTCTTGAACCCACCCACACTCACACCAGCCGCGATCCCGCATGATGTTGGCCATGGCAGTGGCATTTCAATTTCGCAAATGAACTCCTCGACTCCCCCTGCCAGCTCCGAATCCGGATCCGACTCCGAGTTGGCTATAATCTTGTCTCTGTTGTCTGCCCATAAAACGCCAACTTCCGTCTTTCTTCAATTTCTATTTTGATTCCCTTCATTAAGAATGCTTCTTGGCTTCCTGCTTGGCTCCAGCTCTAGCTCTAGCTCTAGCTCTGCCGCACCGCACCGCACCGCACCGCACCGCTTTCCTTTTCCTACCCGAAACCCCTAAACGTTTAAGTCTAATGGCCATATTAGCGATGGGAAGATCGCCGGCTCAAAGTTTATTGGCCATTTGTGTGAAGTACACTGAGAAATGTAAGCTCGGCAGGAGATCAATAACAGCCTCGTGTCAAATTCTAACAGTGGAGCATACTACCCATAATTGTGTGCAAGATATAGTATTAGCTGGATTAAATATAGCCAAAGCCACAGGGCTTTCTCGCCGTTTTTAATGGATTGTTTTTCATATGTATTGCATATAACTTTGAACACGGTTCATTTATTCTATTGCAAGGGTACATCATAATTTTTCCTTCAGTGTACCCGTAGGTATTATCAGTATCTGTCATTTGTTCTATATCGAATTGAGACATGAGAAACGTTATGTGGAAGCAGATCAGGCATGGGTCAATGAGTTGCGCGACTCACAAATTAGTTGAAATCAACCGAATCCACTCCTTCCGCACTCGGTGTCTACCCCTTCCCCTGGCAACCCAACCCCCCATTCAAAGTGATTTTCGTGTTGATGCGGTTAGTGGCATTGCTGTTGTTTTGTTCTGCTAGTCGTGATTTTTTTGCCCAGTTCGCCAGAAACGTTGAATTGGCTTCACCTTTTGACATGGAATCTGAAATGACGTGAAGCAGCCAAAGGAAGAGCTCAGCTCAACCAGAAGATACTCGAACTTGCATAGACATCTACCACAAATTCCCCCCCGCCCCCACCATCGGCGTCCCCAATTCTTTCGCTCTCTCTTCTCGTCCCCTCGTCTTTGATTGGCAGTTAGCCATCCTCAGCCTCAGCCTCAGCCTCAGTCTTAGCCTCATCCTCATCCAATGGCCAAATGCTCATTTGGTTTCGTTTCTCGTTTCTTTTTTGTTTTTGTTTTGTTCAGTTGCATTGCTCTGCGATCGAAATTATTTACCGTTGATATGGTTATGGTCAAGGCAATATAGGAAAAACAAGAAAGGGGAACAAAGCCAGCTTTGGACAGCCAATTCCTTGAAATACCTTCATAGTGGGATGGTTGGGAATACGCATACACACTCGAAGATTGGAGGCCTAGTACAAAGACAGCTGTAGAGAGTAGTCCATGTTCCTAATAGTTTATAATTTGGTTGGGTAGAGTGTTGAAAAGAGATAAATCTGTGCAAATTCTATAACTAACACATGGCCAACCTATTGATGTGTAATGTTTGATGCAAATATGATCTGATCTTAATAAATATTAGTTGAAGCATCATTTATGGATTATAGTAAGGGATCTCCTAGTACTCATAGTGAGGAGAATATCTCTCCAGTTGTGCTCCAAAGTTCCCTTGAAAAGTGTTCCCATCTTGGTTACAAGCCTACCCTGCGGACTTATACACCCCTTCTATTCCTGCTAAAAGCAGAAAAACACATTTATTGAAAACGTTGCATTCATTTGTGCATATTTTAATAAGTTTATTATAAATGTATGTACATGCGGCTTGGACTGGCATGAATTTATTCATGAACGAAGATGTTCCGAACGGAACAGAGCAGGACAGAACAGAACAGAAGGGATCGGAGGAGATGGTCTAGGTCCTGATCGGTTTGCAGATCATGTTCCAGCGATTTTGTGGGCTTGGCCCTCACGACAGTTTGATATGTGTAACCCCCGATGCAAATGCTGATGACCTTCGTCTTCGGCCCACCAAGGACAAGTAGGTATGCCTGGCATAGGAATAGGATTGGGTGCGGACTGGCATTGATATTGGGGGCTCTCTGTAGAGCCTTCTGAGAGCTCTTCTAATTAGAACCCAGGCAAGTGGAAATTTGTGATGTCTGGCTCAGATGGGTATCTGGATGTCATTTCTCATGCCAGATACCCAATTCATATTAATCCTTTGATCTCAGGCGGAAAATGTGTGTATTAGTCGCTAGTTCTCGGCTTTCGGTTCTCGGTTTTCGCTGCTCGCCATCTCCATCTTCGTCATCGTCATCGTCATCGTCTTCGTCTTTGTCTGCTGCTTATCTTCCTTCTTCTGCTTTTTCTGGGATAGATGCCATGTCCATGTCGTCATCATCATCATCATCATCATCATCATTATCATCATCATCATTGCTAAACTTGACGCTAAAATGGATGAGTATGAGGATACGCAGGAGTAGGAGCAGGAGGGAAAAGAGGAGCATAGCAGAGCAGAGCAGAACAGAGCAGCAGACAGAAGTCAGAAGGCAACTGGCAACACAGTTCTTGCGTCTGTTGCCAAAGTCCGTTGGCAAGCAGCCAAACCCGAGGATTTCTACCAAAAGGCGAATTAAATTCCTCAATTCTTGGGCCTGGTTTATTTTTAGACCAAAAACAGAGGAAGAACAAGAAGAGCAAAGCAAAGCAAAGCAAAGCGAAAACTAGCAATGAAATAAACCAAGGGGTAAAGAAAGAGAGATGAAGAGAGGCAGAGGCGACAGCAGTGCAGACCAACACCAAGACGAAAGACGAGGACAAGAAGCGGAGTAGACGGAGGAGACGGACAACAACAACGACGCCAGGCACACACAAATGGTGAAGATCAGAAGATCTACCAGCGGCGGCAAAGAAACAGCAACAGCCACAGCCGCAGCCGCGGTCGATGCTGCAGCCGCAGCAACAAGTATAGATGGATGAATGCTGTTAAAGGCGAAGGCCATCCAAAGAAACTCCTATCCTCCAGCCGTACCCCCGCCACCTCCACCGCCACCGCCATCGCCATAACCACAGCAGCACTAAATCCAGATTGCAAGGAGTCAAACTAGCATCCGCGACGGTCACATTAAGCCGCCTCTATGCGTTGTCGACAGGCGTCGAAGTCGAACTCAAAGTGGAAGTGGAAGTCGAAGACGAAGTCGGCGTCGGCGTCGGCCCGGCGGCAGATGTTTCACCCAGGAACACATCGCACGATCCGATCCGCGAAGGGCGACCGAAGAGCAGCGCCCGAAATCTCAGTGCGTTGTACTTACGATAGAATTTTTGATTGCCATAAGCACGCACAGAGCCGAGTCGCCTCCAAGCCCTAGGTCTAGGTCCGGCACCACCCAATCGAGCACTGGCTGGCCCTGGCCCTGGCACTGGCATCGGATCGTCGCGAACTGGGAAATTGCGGGCAATTCATTTCCCATGACTCTTAATCACCTGGCCATTATTATATTTACTCGTACTCGTATATAATTATACCCTACACCCATCGATTCCTGTGTCGAAAGGGATTAACCATTGATTAAGTCGAATAGCAGTTTGAGTGGAAATAACTTCGATATATTATCGATACTCCCAAGCGATAACTCGCTTCTGTTCGATGGCACAAAAGCAATCAAAGTCTCCTCCTCCTCTCTTTAAATGTGCTGCGTAGCTTTTCTAATTTGTTAGAAATTTTTCTCAAGACTATTAATTAAACCTACCCATATTAATAATCATTAAACCAAATGTTTATCCTTCTCTAATTGCTTGGGTTAATTAGAAAGTTTGTGATACCATCCCAAACAGCGAGAATGAGACTTAGAAGAGAACTTATAATTATGCATGCGGACATTTATCATAATTTTTTGGTAGAACGAAGAGGAGCTGTGTGGAGAGAGAGAGAGAGAGAGTGTGTAAGTTCGTGCTGTGCGGCTGGTACCCGCAGAAAAATTGTCAAAACGCAAAGGAGAAGATCATTATTACATTTCACGCTTCCCTTCCAGCCAAGATCACAGAAATAAAAACTATACCATAAAAAACACAAGAACAACAGCAGGAAACGAACACTAGCTCTGGGGGGCGAAGCTTTTGATACCCTAGCATATGGATCGTTCAGCAGCTCAGCGCTTCATCCAGTTATTTCCAGGCCAGACCAAATTGATTCGGCGATCCAGAATCTTTATACATAATTGGGTCAAACATGATACGTTGCTGCAACAATAACATCTGATCGAAATTATTATAACCTTTGGAAGGGTATTCCAAAACTGTTACCACAACGAGCGACGAGTACGAAGGCGACGGCTTGCTGGCGATACGTACCAAATTAATGGAAATGGAACCACATTGCGTTGGGCCGGGAAGGGCGCAGGCGCAGAGCAAGGGCAAGAGGGGACAAACGTGCAGCAGCAGCAGCAGCAATAGCAGCAGCAGCGAACCCTACTCTATACAGGTAAGAGCCGCCAAGGGGCCAGAGAGCAGTGCGACCAGCAGAAAGAGCCAAAAACCAAAGCGTCGTTGTGGGAGAAAGAATAAAACTAACAATGGACTGCGGCGTCGACGCAGTCTTCGGTTCTGACTTTGGCTCCGAATCCGAATCCGACTCTGACTCCGACGACTCCCGACTCCCATTGGAATGAAATGATGACGGCGACGTGCTGCAGCAGAATGTGTGTATGCCTGTGCAAGTGTGTGTGTGTGTGTATGAGCGGGCATTTCGGTCTTAACCCGCTTGTCTGTACCTTACCCTACCTTTGCTTTATTGCGTTCTTTGTCTAGCACACACACTGGCACTGCCTCTGACTCTGCCTTCCAAGCAACAGGAAGAGCTCACGCACACAGTGGGACACCTTTCCAATCACATCCATGAAATGAGCAAACATTACTCTGTTTCGATTGTTTTCGGCTATGCTCTTTTCCCCCTCTTTCTTCCATTCTTTCCACTGTTTTCTTTTGGAATTCTTTGGCGCTGGGTTCATTCATGCCCGTAGCCCGGCCACAAATTTCCTTTTTAAGCTAACTAACCCGAGCTCTTCACGACATTTGCAATCGCGTACTTGGCCAGATCAGAGCAACAAGCTTCAAATCAAATAAATATCGAACATCGAGTCCTCAGCAGAAGTTCCCTAAGTCTGTCCAAGGATTACTCTCTGCCTCTGCTCTGCCTCTCTATCGGTGTGCCTGATTGTACGTGTACGTGTGTGTTTGTCTCGTCTCCCTCGTCTCACCATCGTTTCGGGCGCGCTCTGGAAGAGGAAACTGGAACTGGAATTGGTATTGGTATTGCTGGAGTTCTGGAAGCAGAGAGCCTCTTCTTCGTTCGCTTCTTCGCTTTCTTGGAGGACATTCGCGGCTGCGTGATATTGCCCGGATCACCCCAGCGATCAGTCGAAGACGAAGACTTGCAGTGAACGCGACGTGTACTAGTGTTAGCCTCCTCGATCGCGCGTCCTCCAACACATCCGCTCTTGCATTCAGCTCGTTAGATCGTCGACAGCTACAGCCAGATTGTACTCCGAACTCAAAGCCTCTCTCGCCCGATACCAAGTAAAAGATGGCCAAAATCATTTTATTCTGTGTGCTGAGCCTTTTGGCATGCGCTGCAGGTTAGTACAAGTTCAATATTTCTATGGAATAAGTTTTTGATTTCGCTACGGATTTTTCGTTGGGAAATTTCTTTAAAAATGCACGAATACCGTTTGGTGGCTTTTTGAGGAATTCCCATTAAAATTAAAAGAGTTAAAATTAATTTATAACCCTGGATATAATACTAAACGATTAGAGTGTTCCCAAAGAACTCTAGAATTAGATGTGCTTCGAAATCTAATATCTGTGTAATATCTAAAATTTCCTATAAGTTTCCCAATTCTATTTCCAAAACCGTGCTTCCAACGAACTGCACAAAATGATGATCTCTCCAAGTGCTTGAAAAAGTCTAAGACCCAGACTCTGGCCCGAACTAATGAATAATGCATTCCCATCATTATATCTGAATCAAAGTCTCGGCCATTAAGTCTGTTCGGTGCTTTTGCATCAATTTTTTTCATCGTTCCGCTCTTTTCTCATCGATTACCTGAAGCTGAATTGCACTGTTCCCGTTCCCGTTTTGGACCCCAGCAGGAGCCAGAGCTTTTTTTCAATATCAATTTCGTTCTGCTTATCCCAGTCGCCATGTCCATTATAATGATTTGCCTGCTAACAGGCCGGAGGGATGCTAGGTGCCAACAAATAACTAGACTTGGCATCGGTCCCGCTTCCCGGGGTGGCCCGGGGTATGCCTCCAGCATCCTCCAGCATCAAAGTCTGGGGCAAACACTAGCATTGACTTTGACTGCATCATTAGAGACGTGCTAGATTCGCGATCTCTCCAGGAGTATCTATCGCTGGCCGAACGTAATTACCTTCCGAAATTATAGTGCTCGAAAATAGACGGCTGTAGGGGGAATCTGAGCGAAATACTGTCCAATTATTGGGTTTCCCGATCCCGATCCCGTTCCCGTTCCCGATCCAGCCCCAGTCCCATTCCCCCAATCGAGTTCACGTTCAGAGTCAGAGTCAGTGTCAAATTAAGTGCAATTGGATGGGGTTCTGATGGGAGGGGAGAGAAACTGGACTTCCTTCTCGTTAGCTCCCTTGAAGATATTGTTGTTTCTTTTTTACCTCGAATTCTATCCGTTGGATCCGTTCCAAGCGAAGATTGCGATCTAGTTGGATTCATTTTGGGGGAATTAATTCTCGAATTAGGTTGGATCCCTCTCTGAGATTTGGGTTGGAGGAATAAATTGGTCAATTAAAATGAAATTTGAGAGTTTCTTCAGCTTGTTCTTCTGCTTCTGCCCAGGGGGATTTGAATTCTTATTGGTTGGTTCTATTGAGAGATGGAAATCTCAGCTGCTCAGATGCATAATAAATCCGCTCGACTGCTGTCAGTCTTCACATTCTTCCCATTCATAAATCTACCCTCGGATCGGTTGTCGTCTCCGTTGTCTTTCGGAGGGAAGACTTTTCGACTTGGCTTCGTGTGTGTCTTGCATTTAAATCGCCGGAAATAATTTCATATACAAACAGATAGCCACACAGATACGACTGCTCGTATGCAGGTATTGAGGTGCGAGTGAGTGGACAAACATTGGAACCCTGTCTATGCCATAGCCATAGACATACCCTTGCCTATATCCATCCACGACAAGTGCCATAAATAGCCAAGTGCCTGGAGGTGCCTTCAAAGTATTTGTGTTTATCTTTTGAGCCGTTCTCAAAGGGCCAACACCAACACACCCACACACACACACACACACCTATGCATGCATGTAGGATACAAACAGATGACTGTTTAGCACGCTCTGAGAGGGCTAAGATCTTTTACCTGTTGGAACCAGCCAGAACAGTCACTGTCATCTTGCATTGTTTTCTCTCGTCCCAGAGCACCCCCCGAGCAGGGAATGAAAGCAGAGCTCTTCTCGGGTCAGCGATTACATAAGAGTCTGCCGGCCGCCTGCTCTCTCTTTCATTCTTTCATGCGTCTTTTCAGTGCTTGGGGCTGACCAGAGCAGCCACCAGCCACCAGCCACCAGCTAATTAATGTCATCAGCACCTTGATTCCCCATCGGATTTTGTGTGTAATTAGCTGCCGGAGGCACAACTCAGGGTCAGGGACCGCATAAATGCTCCTGGTCATCATCATCATCATCATCATCGTTAACATTATCATCATGAGTCATGAATCATATGTCCAAAGTTCTTCGTTTGTTATTCTTTTTATAGAGACAATTGCCGACTGCTTTTGGTAATCCTATTTAATGATATTTGTCTTTGGCTTCGTTCTGTTTCTGGCTCTCTGGCTCTCTGGCTCTGGCTGTGGCCTCTAGCTTCTGGCCATCTCTGGCCTGGCTATTACGCATGCGATGTCCGAAACTGAAACCGTTACTACAATTATTTCGGTTACGCGTTGCGATTTCATAGGTGTTTCGGTATTCAGAGCGGGATCTCCGGATGGGTTTTGGACTTGGGGGAATTTCGGGGTTCGTTCACCCGCAGAAGACCCCCACTAATTGTTTGCTTGTGCTCTTCCGGGATTAGGTCAACGCATTACGACAATCCATTTGGATGGAGTCCAGTACTTCATCAGCCGGATGAATCCCTATTCGCCGGAACTGAACTACTTCCTGGCCTACCAGTACTGTCGCTCCTTGGGCCTGCAGCTGGCCTCGTTCGAGACCAAGGAGAAGGCCGAATCGATGACAACGTATTTGAAGAATGCCGGCTACGGCAACTACGATTTCTGGACCTCCGGAAATCGCCTGGGCACGGGCATGTTCCTATGGATGAGCACCGGTTTACCGTTCAATGCCACCTTTGACTTCTTCGAGAACTCGGCGGACGCCATCCAGGCCGGCCTCCTCGATCCCGTCGATCACAACAGCAACACCTCGCCCCAGCGCACCGCCCGCGACAGGTAAGTACGCCAGGAAGATCCCCCATCCTCCCTGTCCGGCCCCAGTGTGTATCTCTCCTTACATCGCTCTCTGTTTTTGCACTCTCCATTCCATCTCGAACTATAGCAGCAGTGGCGCCGAGAAGGGATGCGTGATCCTGAAGCAGCCCACGCTCAAATGGATGCCCGAGGACTGCTCGGCCGTCAAGGACTTCATTTGCGAGCAGACCCGCTGCTACTACTACAACTACGGCAGCATCCCGGTCTCGTCTGCGCAGGGGTAAGGACACTAGACCACGGCAGCCACTAAGCGAACAGAAAAGGCGCGAATAAGATCAAGCCAGAATTGAGAGAAGAGAAGAGTAACGAGGAGAAGAGAAAAGGAGCAGAGAAGAACGAAGAAAGAACCATATTCATAAAAGCAATAAACAAATTTAAATATACTATAATTAAAGTTAATTAATTCGCTATACGAACGGCCCGCTATAGCGGCAACTAAACAAATCTCCCTAATTAAGTAAATCGAGCACACAAACACAAACACCCACACACACACACACATATTTATATAGATACGATCGAAATCGAGAGAAACCGCAAGGATAACCTGATTAAACGAAAGTTAATTTAGTTGACCACAAACACACACACACACACACAGCCACACAGAACACCCACCCACACACACCAACACACACACAGAGACAGAGACAGAGTGCGAATCTAAATCTGATTCCGATTCCCAGTCCGAACAAAAGATATTGCCAAAAGAAAACAAAAAACTGAAACTCAAAAATAGGTGAGCTAAACCCCAAATCGTTACAAATCTACCATAACTACACACACACATGCACGCAGGCAGACACACACACACACACACACACAGATAACCGTGTTGTGTGTGTGTGCCTGCGCGTCAATCTATGCATACATCTATAAAGATTACATCTAAAGACTAAAGACTAATGCGAAGCTCTTAGCTAACTTCTTACTAACGCCCTCCAAAAAAAAAAACAAACGTTCGAGATGTCAGAGTTTTCAAAATCGATCCAAATTTACACAGTTTTTATTCGAAGAAAAACTATCAAAAGTATATTTCCTTGTAGACGCCAATGCGATAACCGAACCACGAAAATTAATGCAATCTGATATTTAAAGGAATTGATATAAATCTTAAATCAGTTTAGAGTTCCCTTCAGAGGAACTCATTATTTGAGTTCTAAAAGAGTTATATTCTAAAAGAGAAGCAATTTTGGAATTCAGAATCATATAAAAGCAAATGCAAATGTGTCCCCAGTTCTAACTCATTTGATTCCACGTAAAATTTCATAGAAATGCCCTGCCCAGCGATCCTGTTTCAGATTGCATTAACCTTTCCCCAGTTCGATTCCATATGAGCGCCGAAAGAATCTCGCATAAGATCTACATAGATCTGAAACCCTAAATACTCTACGTAATATTTTGTTTGGTGGTTTGGGGCTTAGCTTCCTTAGATGTTCTCGCCTCTCGTTGTTGTTGCTGTTGTTGTTGTTGTTGTTGTCGTTGTGGTTGTCATGATGATTTGTGTTCAACTAACTAACTTTAGTATAAGCAGCTTAAAGCTCGAACTTTCGCACTAACCACGACCACCAACTTCAGCCGAACCGCTCCACCGTGCCCCCTTTACTCCTCTGTTAAGCAGCAAAACTCAAATGGCAACTGTTTTCGTTCTCTTCTCTTCCTTCTCCCCAAACGCTGGGCCACAGACGACCCATCACCTCGACCACGCCCAGAACGCCTGACGCACTGATGCACCTGCATGCCGCCCCCACCACCACGCCCCTGCCCCTGCTGATGTCCACCACTGGAGGCCTGTACACGGCCGCCAAGGCCAAGTCGTCGCCAGCGATTGCCCAGCGCCTGGCAGAGGAGGCCAGCTCGCCGTCGTTCCACTCCTTCAAGCTGAACCAAGATCGCTCGCTGACCGACAAAGATGCCATTGACGTGGAGGTGGACGACCAGGACACGGACATGGATGCCGAGGAGCACGACGATCACGAGCACGAGCACGAGGCGGAGAGCGATGGCGATGTAGAGGGCGACGATCACGACGGGGATAACGATAGCTTCAGCGAGCATGCCCGCGAGCTGATCGGCGATGGCGAGGGCGATGACATCAAGGAGCATGTCTTCCCGCTGCACGACAACGAGCTGCACCACGAGATGCACTCCATTGAAGAGGTTCAGCAGCAGCTGCAGCACCACGACGATGATGCCGCACCAGCTCCCGCCGCCGCCGCCGAAGAGAGTGTCAGCGTTGAGCACGAGACGGAGGCTGACGGAGACTCTGAGTCGGAAGCAGAAGCCGATTCGGAGGCCGAGTCCCAGGCCCCTGGACAGGCCAATGAGGCGCTGCCGAGCTCCACAGAGTCGCCGGCCGCCGCCGCCATCGAGGAGCGCATCAAGCAGATTGCACAGGACTTCCAGAAGATGGCCAGCTCGCAGGAGATGCAGACCCCGCCCAAGGAGGAGGTCTCGCCCCAGCAGTCGCTCTCGCTGAACGACCTGATACGCACCCTGCGCCCCAACGAGCAGCAGATCATACCCCAGATCGACTCCGACTACTCGAACGCCATGCGGGTTCTGGGCAAGACCCTGGTGCCCAACAACTAGGCTTCCCCACTGGCATTGGCCTCCATTAGCATCCACTAGACTAAGTTGTGTGTGTTTGGGTCCGGGGCCCACCGACTGTCCCACCCACTGAGGGATTGGGTTCCACTGAGGAACGAGCATTTTCAAGAGCCGGCCGGATAACGTCCGAAAATGTCGCTTCTCTCTGCGGACCCAATGCGCAGCCTGGGCGGTCCGAGGGCCCCTGTAGAAATTTCCGATCCACACTGATCATTCCACTAGCATATCGGGCAACGAGAGATTAAAGGAGCCAAGACACTATTCTATATATAAATACGATATATTGTATGCTTTAATTGTATGACAACCACCACAAAAAAAGGAAACTCTTGATTTAATAAAAACTACTGAGTAAAATTAACAATCAACATATATTATGTGGAAGAATTCACTGCATAGATTCTGTGTTACATGATTGGAACTTTTGAGTGAAGTGGATTATGCTCTACCCAAACGATTCAATCTCTCACGTGAAGGGGTCTTAAAGTAACTGTGAAATGATTTAATCGATAAAGACCATCAAACCACTCCAATAAACCTGTTACGAGTGTCAGTAAACCTCTTAGAAGATGATGCTAATCTCGTTCACTCCGTCATCATAGAACATCGTTGGATCCATTCATATTCCGTCTCTGGACAGATCCGCAGACATGCTCGTATTCTATAACGGCTCTGGGGACTTGACTTGGCCATGAACAAATCATAAAGTGGCCCAGGGGCCTGGGGAGGGGATTTATTTGGCTTAGTCGAAAAGAAGATGAAAGCCAATAATCGTAAATTAGCTGCTCGGGCTCTAAAAACTGAAGTATGTTTGGGATTTCTTTTATTGCAGCAGCCCCAGAGGCGGTCCCCGGCCGAAGCGAGCCCGAAAGAACAAATAAATTCGTTGGCAGGCTTACATCACTTGGTTGGGTCTTGGTCTTGGTCGTGGTCTTAGTCGTGTTCTGGTCCCTCCGTCTGTCCAGTCTTCGGTGTCTTCGGTGTCTGCATTCAAATCTGCAAATCATCTTTCTTAATTTAAAGAGGATTTCGAGACGCAGACGAAGACGCATCACATCAAGTTTTATGTGTGTCGGTGTCGCTCAACAATTGGATGAAGATGAAGATGGAGCTGCGGCGGGCCAGCCAGCAGCGGCTGTGGACACAACGCATTAACCAGAAGATCCCCGAGCTGGCTTGCAGACCCAAAGGTACCCGCCCCTGCCCCATGCCCACCTGCTGGTGCTCCATCGTCGTCTCCATCTTCAGCTCCACCTTCGCCCTGACGCAGACGAGAGTGACTTCGTTTGAAGTTCTGTATTGTTGACTGATGTTGTTGTTCTTCTTGCTGTTGCTGCTGAAAGTGGTTAATGAAAGAAGCACACACAGATACTCGCGCATACATACATGCATTCTCGTATAAGGTATATGGCAGTCGGAGCAGGCAGATGTGAAGACAACCTTGAAATGTATAGCAGAGTCCAACGAACGAATATATAAAAAAAATGGTTCTGTTCTCCTCTTTGTGCGAGCACCTCAGAGGAGCTTGAGGAGCATTCCTTGGGTAAGAACGGTAAGTAACTGCTAACTGGAAGATGAATTTCAAATCTCTGGAGAATCGGCGGCGTGGCAGTCTGCATCCGTGATAAGGAACGAAAGGAAAAGTACGCTCACGCGCCCGCCCGATATTGGTGTTATTTATAAAGCCGCACAAAGTGCACCTGATCTCAGGAAAGATGATTCAGTTGCTTTACATACGGAAGTGTACGGAGGAATTGCCCAAAACAGAGAGAAAGTACCGACTTTGCCGAATTATATAAAGGAATCGTTCAGGCTTCCAGTATCATTGCAAGCCAAACAATTCGCTTGAAAGGACTACTTCCATCCCGCAACAAAATGAAAGTGACTCTGATCCTCACATTCCTGGCCTCCCTGGCCCTCTCGCTGGCCCTGCCCCAGGTGGGACATGGATCCATCAATGGACCCAGCGGCGTAAGTATAAACTCTGACCCGAAACATGGGATATCTTGGCTAATCTTTCGAATGATTCGTGGCGTTCAGCGCTTTGCCATGACCCGGGACTGGGCTTTGCCGCCAGTGGACCTTCAGAAGCCCATCGTCTTTCTGCGCGAGGCCACGCCCATCCACGAAGAGCCCCAGGAGTCCCGCTCCGTGCAGACACGACGACGCCAGATTGCCTGAGCTCTCTCCGATAGAATGTGTTACTAGAATTAATAGTTACGTGCCAATAAATTGATTAATATTAAATTGTATCCAAACCTCACGCCTGATCGCATGCCAAAGCCGAAACCGATCCACGACAGAGCATAGCCCACATGGATATTCATGGAATGGACAGTTCTTTTGACATAATTAACGCAGATCTAGGTGTCGAAGGAGAAAACGAGTTTCCTTAGGGGAGTTCCCTCAAATAAAACCAAATTAATGTTGGGTGTCTTCTTGGAAGCGCTGTTCGGCATCAGGTTAGAACCAGCTCGAGCTTCCCGTGCCGGCTACTGTTATTATTATTTAATATCGACTCGTTTTTACATATGCATGTGTATGTACGGCTTTAATTAACACTTGAGCAGTCAGTCCCCACCAGCCCCTTAACGGGAGTAATAATAAATGTTAATGACAGAGTATTAGATTTATTTTTGCATATTTTTTAATATATACATACGTATTACGTATACGCAGCGATACAAGTTTTGTCTTTAAGTAGTAGCTCATCTAATTAAATTTGCATGATAGCGCCATATCAGATCGGTGGCTATAAAAGCCCCAGTATTGGGTCCCCGGCCATACCATTAGTGTTGGGCGATCGCTCGAGAAAGGTTAGTCGCTGGTTAAATTCTTCCTGGGATCCATAAAGTGAACATAAAACTTGTTTCGATTGTAAAGTTTATTTCTGTCTTGTCCTCTGTCTCTGCTGCAAGTGCATTTTCGTTGTCCAGATCTGTCCAGATCGGATTATCTTGTGTGCAGTAATATTTAATTGCCTTGAACTTGACAACGCGTTTTCGAGATCTTCCGGTTTTTCCTGTGCCGCCAAAGTGATGCCTTACCTTGCCTTACCTTGCCCCCTATGAGACGTGTATAAACATCGTTTAAAATCAGCCTCATCTCAGCGATTAAGTGTGTTAATTAAAATCATGATTACGTTTTGGAAGCCGCATTCAAGTCGAAATTCATTATGGTTGTTGTATGCTGTTTTACCGGTACCATAAGACCCATAAAAGTGACATGTAGGCCATAAATCGGCATAGCAAAGATCATTTATTGACAGTAAACAAGTTTGAGCTCAATTTTTCTTATGTTTTTTTGTTCGAGTGTTTATGCCACTCCACAGCTAACACAGTTCACATGGTTACAATTATAGCTACTGCTACATGGTGTGATCAGAGCTTTTCGGATTCTGTATAATCATGAATTACTGGACTTGGGATAAACTCGTACTCGTATTGTTTGAGGTTTGAGGGGGTAGCAAGGTAGACAAGTTTATTAGGCTTCGAATCTATTTTACATGTCTGTCTAATCGATTTGTGATGATAGCTATATAAACGCTGACTAGCGATAGAGCCCAAACATTTGTACAGATTGAGTGAACGGGTAAGGTTGGGTCCGATAGAGACAGTGACATAACACACTGATGATTTCAGATTTGAAAATATAATTGCACATACATATATTCAACTCAATCTGTTAATAAGTGTTACTACAGATGTAATCGAACTTAATTGACAACCGACAACGCAGAGGTCTTCTGTATTTTCCCCAGTCAGATGGAATACTATACGACTATTATATATAGAAAATCTTCTTCCCAGATCACAATGAAGTTTCTGTTGGTGCTTCCCCTGTTTGTTGCCTTGGCTTCGGCCCAGTTTGGTGGATTTGGAGGTGGCCTGGGTGGCAACCGCCTGGGTGGAGCGCTCTCGAATGCGGCCAACAGGGTCCAGCAGGGAATCGCCAACATTGCCAGACAACTGCCTTCCCCGCCAAAGATCACGAATGTGCAGAACTTTGGCGATTTCTTGGTAAGTCTTTCTCCATCTGTCATCACCAGAGAGAGGATCTTTATTGTGATTACTTTCTTTCTCAGGCGCAATCTGGAAAGAATTATCTGTCCGCTGCAGACAAGGCCCTGCACGAGGGCGTCTTCGCTGCACGCAAGAATTTGGTGGATGCCGGCAACGATGCCTTTGCCAAGGGCGCCTCCAGCTACCAGCTGGCAGTGAATGCCTTTTCGGATCTGACAAAATCAGAGTTCCTCTCGCAGCTGACTGGCCTCCGGAAATCGTCGCAGGGAGCGTAAGTTTATCAGAAACTAGAATCTGCCATTCCAAAATTAATATCATAATCCGTACCCAGATCGAAAGCCACAGCCAATCGAAAGCTGGCTAGTGTGCCTGCAGGAGCCAGCATTCCCGAATCCTTCGACTGGCGCCAGAAGGGAGGCGTTACTTCGGTGAAGTTCCAGGGAACTTGCGGATCGTGTTGGGCCTTTGCCACCACCGGAGCCATTGAGGGCCATATCTTCCGAAAGACCGGCACCCTGCCGAATCTGTCCGAGCAGAATCTGGTCGACTGCGGTACCCTGGAGTTTGGTCTGAGCGGGTGCGATGGCGGTTTCCAGGAGTACGCCATGGCATTCATCAATGAGGAGCAGAAGGGCGTGTCCAAGGCCGATGGTTATCCGTACATAGACAACAAGGATACGTGCAAGTACAGCAAAAATCTGTCGGGTGCGCAGATCACCGGCTTCGCCACCATTCCGCCAAAGGACGAGACTCTCATGAAGAAGGTGATTGCCACTCTGGGTCCCCTGGCCTGCTCCCTGAACGGCCTGGAGACTCTGCTGCAGTACAAGAGTGGAATCTACTCCGACGAGAAGTGCAATGAGGGCGAGCCGAACCACTCTGTTCTGGTCGTGGGCTATGGCTCGGAAAAGGGTCAGGATTACTGGATTGTCAAGAACTCGTGGGACAAGGTTTGGGGCGAGGAAGGCTACTTCCGCTTGCCACGCGGCAATAACTTCTGCGGCATTGCCCTCGAGTGCACCTACCCCATAGTTTAGTTCTACTAAAATTAGTGCCAGCTTGTAACTAAACGAGTCAATAACAAAAATGTACATACATATGTACGATTACGAACTTCCCTCGCTATAACTCTATATTTTATCTAGAGCTATCTGTTTGCTTGGTGAAATCAGATCTCCTGGATCCTAGACTTGCATGCCCAATGACAGGATATACCTTAAAGTTGAAACAATTTCAGAAATTTAACGAATATATAGCGATATTAATTTAATAAAATGAGAAAACATGAGCCGCACCGCTAAGTTTTGGACTGAGGCTTACTTTTTTATAGATTCTTGTGTAAGCCGCAGATCTCTTGTGCTGGCAGCTGTTGATATTGAGTGGGTTTTTAGAAAAAGTAGGATATTCCATGAAACTAAGCAGGACGACTATCCATACAGTACATAGATGTGATCTCATAGATGAGATCCCAGACTAACGCGACTAAGATCGCGACTAACGTACCCTAATGTACCCTACGCTTCGTCACAAACCGAGTCGTATCCGATCTTTTCCACTTGTTCAAAATCATCCTTGCTTTATTCTTTATCGGGAAAGCTATCCCGACTACAAAAAGGCGTGGCACGCCGATATAGGATCACAAATAGCGGAGAACACCAAATTTTTTTGATTGGGGAAAATGCCCTTAATCCTTGATAAAGACTTCATTAAATTAGGGACATTTTTTCGACCACAGGAAGCCGTTGCAAATATTCAAAGCAAATAAGAAAAGAAAGCAAAGAAATACCAAAGCATCAAGGACAGATTTCTAGTCAGGGCGGGCTATGGCATGATAATAATACAATAAAAATCAAAAATAATTATTATACAATAAAAATCAAAAATATTTTATAATTATTGTTTTTGATTTTATTGTGTAATAATTATTTTTTTGATTTTTATTGTATTATTATTATTTTGATAATTTGAGCGGTCGCAAGTTAAGAGTTGTTGTTTTCTCCGTTACTTGAAGCCCGTTCTAGTCGTGCGACGGCTTCCTGTGTTCGGAATAACATCCTTGATTTGATGGAGTCCTTATCAAGAACCAAGGATTAAGGATATTTTCCCCAGACATATAACATATAGACTGTTTTCTCCCTTATTCATGGCCCGATCGCGACATGCGACGGCTTCCCGTGATCAGAAAAAACTTCTTGATCCTTCGCAAACGATTCCAACAACCCCAGCCATACATATCTAGTTTTTTCGGCAATTAGTGGGCTGATCTAGGCTTTCTGTGCACAGGTTTAAATATATCGCACATTAAAGGAACCGGTTTTTGTAACTGAAACGGTTTTAAAACGGAACGACGAGATTTTGCATTGCATAACATGTTTCTGTAGCATCATGTTATTCATTAATCGGATAAAATTATGTCGGCGGGGCTGAGAATTCTATCTAGCTAGTAATATTCGACGGAATATCAAAAGTGAGTTATATATATTATATAAATTGAATTCTTCAGTGTATTAACGGTATAATTTTAAAATGAGACGGTATATTTACGGTATATCGGTATATAATGGTATATTTTGTAAATTTCATCAAGCTATTAAATTTCATTTTCAACGGTATATAGAAATCCAATAAAAGCAAGTATTTAGAATAGGCCAGTCAAAGCCAAAATTGATTCGTTAATCGGATAAAATTATGTGGACAGGGATGAACGTTCTATTTAGCTAGTTATATTGCACGGAATATCAAAAACGAGGAATATGTCAAATAGAACTTGAATTCATCAGTATATTTACGGTATATTTTTTAAATTAGAGGCGGTATATTTCTGATGGTCGGACTGTTTACCATCCCTAGATTGACAACAATAATAAAAAATTACAAATTCAATAAATTGGGCAAAAATTAAACGATATTAGGAGTGACAGGGGAGAGTTCATGTGCAAATCAAGGGTACTGCCATGAGAAATGGCGACTGTGCGTCATATGGAAGGCCAACGAGCAGCATTTTTCCTGCAGGTGTGTGTGTTTTTAAAGCAGAATTCTGTATTTTGGACAGCGGAACCAGCGCCAGCCCACTTTTGAGAAAGTGGGCGTTGTCACGCTTTTGCAAATCCGTCCAGTGTCTCATTTGTTTTGTTCATTTTTATCCCAATGTGTATCCTAATCTCGGGCTTCCTTCTTCCAGAAATGTACTCGATAGTGCATGTGCGTAGAGTTTAATCCAAAGAGCCCCCCGCAGGGTCATTTCGCATTTTACCAACCAACCAACCACCACACGCGCACAGCCAAAGCCATCCTCCTAATCGTTTATACCCTACCCGACTAACGACTAACCACCATGGACGAAGACATTATGAATGCTGTAGAATCTCTTTTCGGTAAGGACGTGAAGATTGTGGACTGCGAGACCTCGTCCTCCGTGCAGCAGGAGGAGGTGCTGCTGATCAACGGCGTGCCTGTTAAGTTGGATGGCATCCCGGCGGACGATGCGAGGGCCATCAAGGCAGCGCTTCTCGATGGCCAGATGCCGTCGGTGGAGCATCTGAACCAACTGTTGTTTCGCGCCGGCCTGGCTCAGCAGCCCATCGAAGTGGAAACGTCGCTGACAGTCAAGTCTTCCCTAACGACCACCGAGGAGGTGCTGGTGTCTCGCAATGGACAGATCCTGGATGAACGCACCGTGGAGACCAAGGAGCACTTCAATCATCAGTCGCATCAAAAGGAAATCTGGCATCCCATCAAACAGCACTCGGCTCTGGCTCGTGCCACTCCCGAAAACGCACTCAAATATGGAATGAATTCGAATTCCACGCTGGCCTCACAGGCCACCGACTCTGACGACCGTCCGGCGAATCCTCTGGGTCGTCAGCTGAATGAAACCTTCTCGAATGCTTCGCTGATGTCCTCCAGCTCGGCCATAACCGGGTCAGATCAGGTGATTGGCTCCGTTTCATCCACCACAGTTGGCGACAAGAGCTCAAATATAAGCAGCTGCGACTCCGGCCATGACGGTCTCTTCCACAGCGTCTCCATGAGTGCGCCCTGGTCGCATCCCCGCGACACTCTGACAGACTCCATGTACTGTGACATTCCCAGCTCTGCAGATGAGGCAGATGCAGTCTCTATACTCGTAAGATTAGACCCGACGTCATATCCGTGATTGCTTTTCTAATCCGTTTCCTTGCAGAACACCCATCTGCAAATCACAGAGCCATGCGACATAGTTGCCGTTGATTGCCAAACACCGCCAGCTTACGCCAAAGACATGCCCAAGACCGGCAACCTGGACTCGCTGGTCAGCCTCCTGACCAACAGCCAGAACAAAGAATTTGAGTTCACATTTCTGGTTTGTGGCCGTCTGTTCCTGCAGCCGCAAGAGCTGCTTTTGCGTATCGTAGACAAGTGCCAATCCAGACAGGATACGCTGCTCCGGCTGCTCAAGCAATGGCTAAAAATTTGCCCCAACGACTTTCGCAACGAGGCACTGCTCCAGGAGTTGGACAAGCAGGAAAAAGACGTGGCATTGGCAGCCTTTCTAGACGATATTTCTCAGTCTCAGGACCAGCGGGATGCAAGGGGACGCACACAACTGCAGTATCTGCTGGCCAAGCAATCGTCGGGCAGCTCTCTGGGACGACAAAGCAGTATTAAGTCATTGAAACGATTCGCCGCCAACGTCTACAAGCTGGACAATGTGCTCAACAATTGCAGCAACCCCTTCGAATTAGCCCACCAATTGTATGCCATCGAGTATGCCTATTTATCGCAAATACGTCTAGAAGAATTTGTGGAAATGCTTGCCAAGGGCGAAATGAAAACGTGCATGTCGCAGACCAAGGCAGGCACCTTGGGCTCCAATTGCATCAGCCACGTAACCATCGGCAGCTATGTGCAGTGGTTTAATCAGTTGAGCTATCTGACTGCCACGGAAATAATAAAGGTGAGCGTAAAGGTGACATCATATTATCGACTGTACACCAATTACACTTATTTTTATATCCAACAGCTTGGCAAGAAGTCCCATCGTGCCCAAATGATTGACTTCTGGGTTGAGACCGCTCTGGAGTGCTTCAACACGGGCAACTTCAACAGCCTGATGGCCATTCTGACGGCCCTTAACTTGACTGCCATAGCTCGTCTCAAGAAAACTGTAGGTTCCTTTAACTCCAGGACTCTGGCAAACAAATAATAATATAAAACTCATCACTTTTAGTGGGCAAAAGTGCAGACGACTAAATTCGAGGGCTTGGAACATCAAATGGATCCCAGCTCGAACTTCCTCAACTATCGGTCGACCATGAAGGCAGCCGTCTGGCGCTCGGAGCGGGAGATGGCCAACAAAATCGAGCGTGCCATCATACCGTTCTTCTCGCTGTTCCTCAAGGACCTCCATGCCATAAACGAAAGCCACGAAACAAAGTGAGTAATCCTTGCTCTTGACCACTGAATTGTAGAGAATTAACACATATTATTACACATACTATTAATACAGATTGGCCGACGGAACCATTAACTTTGAGAAGTGTCGACTCTTTGGCACCCAATTGAGCAACTTTTTCAAGTGGCAACGGCTGGACTGTCCCTACGAGCAGGTGGCAAACGTGGTGGCCTATTTGCAGAAGGCGGAAGCCCTGTTGGAGAATCTACTAATGAAGGCCTCCTACGAATGCGAGCCGCCGGACAATGCCGAGGAGAAGGATCATTACAAAACGCTGAAATCTACAAAGAAATCGAACACCTAATCATTAACGACAATCCGCGGGGAAAGACAGGAACCCGAAGACAATGCAATTGCCTCGCACATCTTTTGTTGGCATTTCCATGTAGCGCATCAACAGAAACCGTAACAATAATACTTTAACACAGCAATAGTAGTGGTTAATCTGTACTTAAGCTTAAACGATGGTATATTTAAATTGAAATTGATTTATATATACAGTGATGGGCATTTAATTAGAAACACCAAAAATATTCATACAAATTACTAAAGTAACCTTTTAAAAGTTGCATTTTAGGCGTTAAATACACAAAAATACATAATTTTAAAACCTCTACCTCATCACGACTGTATTGTTTTTGGTCCTCAACGAATGGTGGCAAACTTCTGGAAATCCACGGTTCCGAACTTGCCGAACGGCTCCAGGGCATAGAGTTTTCCCTCGACGGGGGCATGTATGCGTATCTGGCGCATGTGGGTGTCCCGGCCGTTTTGATGATTCGAAATGACTGCGATTTGCAGCATGAATGTGCGTATGGACTTCACATTACCGTCCTTGATGGGCACTTGCACCCAGCCGGTGGGCTCTGTTAGATCAAGTACTTGCAACTCCTGAAGATCGTTGAAATTAGTGCCCGATCGTATGGAGATGCGCGATGGTGTGTAGCTCTCGTCCAGCTTGTAGTCAGTGTAGATGTAGATCTGGCTGATGTTTGTCCGCTTGTGGAATTGAATGTTGACCAGGTGCGGCAATTGTCCGTCTGACTGCCAGTAGGTGTCCATGATGTTGTCCCGCAGCCGCTCCACCCCGAATCCTAAATATCAGGTATTTTAATGGAATGCAACATACATGACTGAACGGGGAAGCTCTTACCGGGCTTACAGGAAGAGAGGCTCCATACAGCTTGGGCGCCAACCTCGCGCACAAGTCCAAGTCGCTCCTCGGCCAGCGGATCCTCTTCGCTGGTTGGGGGTGGATTGATCGGTATGTCCTCATCCATTGAGGATGTCATGATTAGCGCAGCTATTTTTAAGTCCGTATTTTATTCCTATTTACTTTAGTTTGTTTTGATTTTCAGTTTGTCAACACCCACTTACAGCACTACTCTTCGACGCAAATCAGCTGTGGCAAACAACGTCGTGCACACGCGTTTTCCAACACTATCCCATGGCACATGTGCGACTTTTGAATAAATAGAAAATTAAATAAATAGAAACGAAATGGTGCGTAAACTCAAATTCCACGAGCAAAAACTGCTCAAAAAGGTGGACTTTATTACATGGAAGGTGGATAATAGCGGCAAGGAGAACAAGATCTTGAGACGCTATCACATACAAAAGCGTGAGGACTATACAAAGTGAGTTCCCCCAGCAAGACTGCATCAGCTTGGACACTTGGTTAATTGTATGGGCATTTGCAGGTACAATAAACTATCCAGGGAAATTCGCGAACTGGCCGAGCAAATAGCGAAGCTAGATGCCGCCCATCCTTTCAAGATCGAGTCAACCACGATGCTGTTGAACAAGTTGCATGCCATGGGCGTATCCAACGATCAGTTAACTCTGGAGACGGCGGCCAAGACATCGGCCAGTCACTTTTGCCGACGACGCCTGCCCGTAATCATGGTAAAACGTAAGTGCTTTCCCTTAAACATCCATTTATTTTCTTCAATAAACATTTGGTGAGCTTGCAGTGCGAATGTCGGAAAACCTAAAAAACGCCACAGACCTCATCGAGCACGGCCATGTTCGTGTGGGCCCAGAAATGGTCAAGGATCCAGCCTTCCTTGTCTCCAGAAACCTGGAAGATTTTGTTACATGGGTGGACGGATCCAAGATCAAAGAGCACGTGCTGCGCTATAACGATATGCGGGACGATTTCCAAATGTAAAATGCTGTCGGATTTACCTTTAAGATGGATATTTTTTAATAAAAGTAGAATTACAAACACGAATGGCGTTTTGTTAAATAATCATTTTCAATAACTTTATTACATTTCATATAATAATGTTTAGATCTCATTAATATTATTCATTAATATGGAGCCCAGTCACGCCAAGGGCGTGACTGCGCCTACCCACGCATTCATATACACTCGCCTCATTCAGACAGAATCAGAATCGTTCCGTGATGGCGGTTCAAGGTTGAGTTGGTTATGCCCCCTATTAGTTTCGATCGACCGCCTCTTATAGTTTTCAGTTACAAAATAGGGCCCGGCCTGGCTTCGAATTATTAATATCATTTAAAATCAAGTGTTTCCAGCAGAGTGACTGCACAAACTATACATAATACGGGCTTGCGTTGACAATCATCGATCGTGCATTTATAAAACAGGGTGAGTGTGGGGTTAGAGACTGAGGTGAAGGTGAAGGGGGTGCCAGCAACGGTTGAGCGGTCTAAAAGGTGCTGATCAGATGCGATTTCACAGAGTTAAAAGTAGTCAAGTCGATGGCAGTTGCCGAAGTCAATTCCTTGCTGGTGCCGCAGTCGAGCAGGACAGAGGCCAGCCCCAAATCAAAGGGGAAAATGCATGTGCAGATCGACTAACTTAAGAGCTCTTCAATGTTGAATGAATGTTGCATAGGCAACTTTTGCGAAACTTTAGAGTCGGACTGACTGCTCACGACGCACGGATCGGACCTTGCTGCGAAATCTAAGGGAAATTTCGATTTCCGTCTGTGGCAGTCAAAAGTCTTTCAAATTGTACAGATATAGATATCTTTAAATATTAGTTGCATTATTATTCCTTTTTAAATACGCATAAAAAGTAATTATTAATTAGTGTTAAAATAAATAGCTAGTGGCATTAAAATTAGATTCGACTTTGGCAGCGGCCTCATTTTACACAATTCAGCTTCCGACCGCCCAAGGCCATGAAAAATTTCACATGATTAACTTCATAACAATATAAAATAATAAAACAAATTAATAAAAAGTGATTTTCTACATTTGTTCTTCCCTTTTCCCCTCTGGCTACACTTCAGCCGAGGACGCTCACATGACATGCTGAATCCTGCACGAAAACTAACAAAAATACAATTATTCAAGGGGCTTCATTACATTCTTTTGGCATTTTGTGTTGTCTGCTTTTTGCCCATTACATTTTTGTTGCTTAAATTCTTAGGCGGATATATGTATATGCTTTTATATTGAAAATAAATATTCAATCGCATCGTTTACTCACTACAAAATTTTCTGTAAATTCAAATTTCTCGTTTCTCAAGCATGTGCTATTAGTGGTTTAAGCCGAGTGCCCACGTCCCAGAGTCCCACCCCCTATACCATAACCCTCGCCCATAAGTCCCTCCGCGAGCTATGGAAAGACCTCATGGTAGGTTCGAGTTATGGTTCGTTATGTTTCCATAGATGTCTTAATGCGCAATGTCGTAGAATAGTTTTTTTTTCCGGCCAAACAGCGCCAAGCGCCCACTGGCCCGGACTCCGCTCCGCTCCGCTACGTTGCACTTAGATCACAAGCGCCATGTCCTTTTTGCTGGGCAACTGCACCCGCTTGCCCTGCCAGAGCGAGTTGTGTATTGTGAAGGCGTCGATGGTGACGGTCAGATGCTTGGTGTGCACTTGCGAGAAGCACTTGCCCCCTGAGTTGTATCTGCAAAGGGATTATCGAGTTAGTGTATGCTCAGGCGTAAGGATGTCACGGTACCCACTTGAAGAACTTATCGAACATGACTTCGTCTACTTGACTAGGTCCGGTGCCGTACAGCTTGGTCACCTGGTCCCCGGACTCGGGCATGTAGCTGTAGAGGGCGCGGAACTGGCAGCCCGCATCGCGGAAGAGTACTAGGAAGTGTTTCGCCTCCGAGCGTGCTATCTTCTCGAGCACTTTCTGTTTGGCCTCACGGTTCACGGCGCCCGGAAAGACGCAGTATTCGACGGCATTCAGTATAATGCCGCGATTGGATTTGGCCGCTGGTTGCTTGTAGAGTTTTGGACCTGTCAATGCAAATCGCCTCAGTTAGCGGAATGGTCAATCATGATGTGGATATTCTCTACTACTCGGAGGTGTCAATGGCAAGCTTTTATATATTAAATTCCTATAATCGTCTTATTATCGAAATGCAGGCTACGTGCACTATGTGAGCTAGAACTTGGGCTCCAAAGTTAGAGCAAAGCTACGATGGATACTTGGGAGTACTTAGACTTGAATGCAAAATCATAAAGTAACAAAAAATATATATTACAAAAAAACCTCCTATTATAAAGATGGCGGATGTTTTAAGTATTTTGAACTGAATATTGCCTAATTTAGTATCTTATGCAAATTATTTTTAACAATTAATACGAACAGATAGTAATAAATAAACGTGTACATAAATTTATATGAAAAAAAAAAACCAAAAATAGTAATTAAATTGCTTGCTGTTTTAAGTAGGTATTTTTGAAAATTGTGAAGCGGTTAATCGGGCTCATCTGGGGGGTTCGGTATTAGAAAGCTCTTTGGGTGTTGTGTTTCTCTACATTTATCACTGGGTAAACATTTGTCGGCTCTCGTTTGGTTATCGAAAGTCGTGGATTTGACGGAACATGGGACAGGAAAAACCAAGTGTTTTGGACTCTACAGACTGTCGCAGCCCTCTAGAACTCGCATATCTATGTAGAACTCATACGTATGTCGAACAAAATCATATGGTGGCGTGGACACAAGATGCATACGAATGGATGCCAATTAAATGGAAAACGAGTGGAAATGAAATCAAACGAAAAATGTTTCAATGAAAATCATATCATATAGAATGAGGCGCTTCGAACATATTCGATCGTTATGTATGTGGAGAGATGCGGGTGATGACCAAAGGTTGTATGGATTGGTGGATTGGATGTGATTATATAACTGAGGATATAACTTTTGAAGTTTTTTATGGTATGGTTTTTCTTGTTGTTGTTGTTTGTTTTTGTAGTTTGTTGTAGGCGAGAAATACAAACCCGAATATTCCATGTTAAAATTCGGAGTTAATGAGAAATCGCTGGATCCATCATCAAATCCGCGACGTTTCGATATCAAACCTGGCGGCAAAGAGCCCGGTCCAGAGGGGGATGGCATATGCCTACCTGAAGCGCCCATTCCAGGCGAGGGTGCGCGCCTCGGCGGTGTGGCGCGTCCCAGTCCCGAATCTGTGTCTAACCGGCAAGCAAGAGAGAGTCAATCAGCGGATCGGTTACATGCACAGTACGCAGTACACAGAGCAGAGAGGAGAGAGCACGCAGCACACAGTACAGGCCCATGCAGATGGTAGCCGTTCGATGTATGGGATGCATTTTGGTTAGTCACCAGACGGGAGCACCAGGGAGCACGGCGATGGGTGGCGAGCGGGCGAGCGATCGAGCGATGATTTCGTTTTGAGTTGGTTAATAATTTGTTGCATTTTTTGTTGTTGTTAATTTCAAGATTTTGTTTTTGGTTTTTAGTCAAGGTTGATTTGAAAGAAAGAGAAATAAAAGAAGAGAATGTGTGCACAAAATTTAGTTAAGCCATTTCGTGGATCCTTCATTTAGAGATACTTAAAGCTAATTGATCATGATCTGGTTTTGAATCGAACAGGTTTATAGATGAGTATATGGATGGATATTTGTGTGTGTGTGCAGTTGTATCTGTATGTGCATGAATGTGGGAGTTAGTTCACAAGAAATATGTATCTTTTTGCACAAAATGATTGAATTATGCCCAGAACCTGTTGCGAATGGAAAAGCTGAAACCCTCAGCCCTCACCCCGAAAAACGGCTGATACGAAAACAAGAGAAAAGCTTGAAGAGGGACCAGACAACCACCAACACCACCACCGCCACCGGATCAATAGAAACCGAATTGTCGCAGTGAAAAACTATGCGAAATGAAACCAGAAATATAATCAAATCAAATCAATTAAAAATCTCACACAGACAAACATAGAATAAATACAAACGGAAATTGTTTAAGGATTACTTATGCAAAGATCGCACCACCAAAGAAAAGATCCAAAGTACAGGTTAAACCAAAAAGGAATTGAAACCACTAGAAGAATACTCAAAATGAATAGAGGATAAGAAGCATACAGATAGATAGATACAGACAGATACGTAATGCGGATAGGATAGGATAGGATTGGATAGAGTAGAGTATACAGTTTACAGTATATGGTATAGGGAGGAAAGAAAGCAGCTTGATTTCAGTTGTACTGTAGCTGTGGAACGCTTCTTACCGCACAGATTCATTAGCGAATTGGACTTTCGGCCCCGGAAATTAAGTGTGCTCCCCTTAGCGACGGAGATACGCGACAGAGTGCGGCCCCGCTCGACGGCTGCTGGCTCTGCAAGTAGGTCAGGTCCGACAGGGATATGCCGAGTGGTGCATCATTATAGAGTTTCAACAAAAATATATGTAGATCTTCTTACGCAATGGATGGACACAAAATGAGGTACAGGCAAAAATATTGTAAATCAAACTTAAGGCCCCTCGACCCACCCAAAACCATACAAATCAAAGGTATTATAAATTCTCAGGCCCAACCAAGGTGTAGTGTAAACTGTAGTGTAATGCACACGCGGCCCCGTGTGCATTCGGTAGCATCCTGGCATTAGTCGGCATTTTGGCATTGCATTTTATTAGTTGAGTTGTGGATGCAGTTACTCATAAGCTGGAGGTGGTGTGTGAATCCTTAGCGATAAGTCAGTTAGAACCAATAAATTATAATCGAATTAAACTAAATGTAAGCACGCGACGGGCATTCATTTGTCGTTGTTATTGTTTTTTGCGTGTTTGAATACGATTTTTGAGGAAATCAAAAGAATAACAATTAAACGAAAGAGAGAACTACGTAATTAGGTGTGTGTTATACCCATCACCAACCTCTGGAAGTTTTATAGGATCCCCGTCGCCCAATCGGAGTTGAACTTGTACTGGGATAATCATCGGGTGACTCTGTTTGAACGAGATTAGTGGTTATTATACCTTATCAA